CAACATTTTTAGAATGATAAAGATTTAGCGAATAAAACAGAACATGTTGATCAATAGTTTATAGCAGCTGACAAAGCTTTCAGCAACAGTCTTCTCAGATATACATGACATGGATACTCTGCTGAAATGTTACTGGCCAGATTATGTTGATGGTCGACGAGTCACAAATACCAAACATGTGACTCGTCCTCTCACACAGGAGGCTGCATGCTCGGTTACTGGTTTGATTATAATTGTTCAAATGTGATCATTTATGATATTTTATCATCAAATATGACTTTCCAGTATCATATATGTCATAGAGTAATGTACAGTGAGCAGTTAACAAATAATAATAACTGAATGAAGTTACTTACTAACAGACGTGTGTGTGTGTGTGTGTGTGTGTGTGTGTGTGTAGTTTACTTTACCAAGTAAAAACTTTATTTGCTCAAATATCATTTTTCAACAGGTTTCAGTTTATTCGTTGTTCATATTTGTCTTGGTGATACATTGTAATCCACAAACAACCACAAATATTGTTCAACAAAATCATTTTGTACATTAAGTGACATTTCCTGGTTCGCTCTGTAACAGGAAACTGAACAATGTTTCAACAGGAGACAGAAATACAGCCAACAGTGTACACTAGTTTGATTTCAACCATTTTTAAGACTTAATTTATGCTTTTAAAGATGTTTTATCTTTGTGGTTAAAGCACTCTGTGGTTCGCTGGTGAAACAGGAATAAGTGACTTTGAAACTCAAACAATACATACAACGTATTACATATTACTTTTGAATAAACATATCAATTTCAGTGGTTAAATATTGTTTAGGACAAGATTTTCATGCAATTTATTGGGAGATATGACCAGTAATTATACTCCCCGTCTTCAAGAGTCAGAGCTCATCATAGGTTTTAACTCCACACACTCACTCAAACAATATTTTATGAAATCTAAAATAGATTTGCTTCCACTCTTGACAACCTCGAATGTCTTCTCTGCTGCTTCAAATGGTGTCTCTGCTTCCTGAGCTGCAAAATATCCTGCAACACCTCCCACTGCAGCACATCCCACTGTAAGAGCGATTGCTGCTGTTCCTGCTGTTCCTGCTGTTCCTGCTGTTCCTGCTGCTGTTCCTGCTGTTCCTGCTGTTCCTGCTGTTCCTGCTGTTCCTGCTGCTGTTCCTGCTGCTGCTGCTGTTCCTGCTGTTCCTGCTGTTCCTGCTGTTCCTGCTGTTCCTGCTGTTCCTGCTGCTGTTCCTGCTGCTGCTGCTGTTCCTGCTGCTGCTGCTATTCCTGCTGTTCCTGCTGTTCCTGCTGCTGCTGCTGTTTCTATTGCATTTTTAGCTAAAGCAAGCACTGTCTTTAAAGAAAAGTGAACTATTTTGACCATCACTATTACACCAAAAATAGCTCCTAACAATGCACCTGTTGTGATACCTGCCAAATTGATCAAAAGCCTCTCAAACACTGTGTATTTAGCCTTCTCTGTGATCTCTTCCTCTGACATGTCTCCTGATGACGGTCTAATGCGTTCCTCCTCCTGTTTTATTTCTGCCTCCACTGCTTGTAGCATCTCATTGGTGTAGCAGCTTCCTTTGTTTGCCTCAATCATCTTTTCTATTGTGTTGAGTAGCTCCTCCACTTGGAACTGGTTGCTCCTGTATTCATCCTGCTGGTTGTTCTTCCAGTATTTATTATCAATGACGTGGCAGCGGCCTCCGCACTTCTCCACCAGATCACTCACAAGCTTATTATCACAGAAATAGTCCTCAATGGTCTGTTCTTCCTCGAGCTGTTCACCATGAGTAAAGAGAACTGTCGCATATTTGAAAACTTCTTCAGAGAAGTATTGGTTTATCTTAGTGATGACAGCCTGCTCCTGATCTGTGAATCTGTCCACTTTAAACACGATGAGAAAAGCATGAGGCCCAGGAGCACACTCTGTGATGCACTTCACTATTTCAGGCTTCAGCTCCTCCTCAGATCGATCTGTGTCGAAGAAACCAGGAGTGTCGATCAAAGTTTCTTCCATTGACAGGTTTAGTTTCTGCTCGACATTCATTTGTTTCAGAGTTGGCAGTTTGGCCGATCTTGAACAGTTTCTCTCCAACTATGGTGTTAGCCACGCTGCTTTTCCCAGTTCCAGATTTTCCCAGGATGACAATTCTCCTGTTTGACACTGAGAGAGAATAATGTCCATCAATAATACTGTGCTTTTGTTTTTTGTCTGTTTTCATGTATAAGAAGAAGAAGATACACATGAGCTCAATCACAACAAAAACACCTTGTTGGTCAGAAATCTGCTGGTTCTTATCAAATCGCTGCATAAGCATAATAAGAGAATGAAGAATGGTGTCAATACTTTAAAAGAGGCCAACGAGCATCAAGAACATTAAGTTCAGTTTAACTGGATTAATGGCACTCGTGAAATCAACCTTTACAATCTTTGGCAGAGTACAGTCACCTGTACTTTGTACTTAAAGAGCGCACACAAACAAAGTGTATGACCCCCCACCAGCAACAGTTTTATAATTTTAAAGGTAGGTATAATATAATGGTGTACGATATGCAGGAGTTTCCTAAAAAAACAATGTATAGACAAAAATAATCCCTCTCAATCATCACTTATGACTAGAAGTGTGTGGTGGTGTCAGTAACTGCAGAGACTCTTCCCTCTGCCTGGATTTTCTCTTTTTGTCTGATATAACTGTTCAGGGCGTTTCTGGGGGTCAGAAAAGAGCATTTATGCCCCACAGCCAATAATGACGGTCTCTCTCTCTCTCTCTCTCTCTCTCTCTCTCTCTCTCTCTCTCCCTCTCCCTCTCCCTCTCTCTCTCTCTCTCTGTCCAGAAAGGAGGGGTGAAGTTTTAACGCTGCGTTAATAAACAGCAACTCTTTTTTCTTGTGATCACACAGTAAAGTTTCATTTCACATTTCTATAATTGTTGAGGTTTTTTGTTGAAGAAGCAGTCACGTCTGCAAACGATCTTCTTCTTTCAAGATGGTGGTTTTTGAAAAAAAGATATTTCAAAACTTTTCCACATCTTCACCAAGTACTCCAGGAATACCATAATTATTAGTTTATAACTTTCCATAATGTGTTATGTCAAAAAGTACATTAATGTACAGTGAGCAGCGTTAACAATTAATAATAACTGAAAGAAGTAACTTTAACTTACTGTTTGTGTTTTTAGAAGATAAATCCGTGAACACGTCCTATGTGTCTCTCTTCTGTTGGGGTCAGACTCTGCTTTTATTTAAGTTTCACTTTCACTTACTGTGTGTGTGTGTGTGTGTGTGTGTGTGTGTGTGTGTGTGTGTGTGTGGTGGGGGAGGGTAGTTTACTTTACCAAGTAAAAACTTGATTTGCTCAAATATCATTTTTCAACAGGTTTAAATATATTCATTGTTCATATTGTCTTGGTGATACATTGTAATCCACAAAGAACCACAACTATTGTCTAACAACATGATGCTGTACATAGATTATAAGATGTTTCCTGGTTCGCTCTGTAACAGGGAACAGTGAACAATGTTTCAACAGGAGACAGAAATATAACCAACACTATACACTAGTTTGATTAGAACATTTAATTAAGATCTTATCTATGAAAGATATTGAAACTATTTAATATTTGTGGTTTGTGGCTGCAGTTGACAATACATGAAACAACATCAGACACTTTGTGTTAAAGATCAGAAAATATTGAACTTTTATTTTATCACGAGGCGAATTGCTGTTGCAACACAAATTAGAAAATACAAAGAAAAAACAGCTGCAAATCCCAAAAATATATACATGTTAACAATATGGATCATAAAATATAAACAATGTGAATCAGACATGTATGTACAATATATAATCTGAAGTACAGGTACGTGTCATTTTCAAGATTAAAACTCAGGCAAGATATTCAACTTATTACATATTCCATATGAATAAACATGATCATCTCAATGGTTAAAGGTTTCATTTTATTTAAAGAGAGGTGTGACCTTTTTAATGATGAATTGTCTCCTCCATTTTTAAGAGTCAGGGCTCTGAGGGCTGAGTAAAGGGCTGATTCTGATTTGTACTTGGCTGTCTTATCACTTCATCCCCCTGAGCCCTTTTGCCTGTTGGGCCGTCCGCCTGAGCGCCTGGGTCCAGAGCAACTCCGGCAGTCAGGTCGTCCACCCGAGATCCCTTGTCCAGATCCCTCCTTCCCGTCCGACCGCCCACCTGCCCGTCCCCCAGAGCCCTGTGGCGGGTTGGATCCAGCCATCCCTCCTCCGGACCCCCTCCTCCCACCCTATTCGATGTTGGGCCGTCCCTCCTCCGGACCCCCTCCACCACCCTATTCGATGTTGAGATGTTCAATCTTCTCATCACCCCACACATATATACTCCCCTGCTTTCCCTGTTCTGGTTGTCAGATCGTCCTTGTTCGTTCCCCTGTCTGTGCCAGTCTTGTGTCTCCCTCGTGTTTGCTCCTGGTTTGTACCTTTGCCTTTTTGTGACTTTGGATTTTTTGTTTCCTGTTTGGATTTATGCCCGCTCCGTTGGAGTCGCTTTCAGTTTTTGTTTATGACTTTTTAAGTAAAGAAACCTTATTTTTCAACTTCACCTCATCTCCAGTGTCTGTCTGCGCTTGAGTCTCAGATCTGCCCCTCGGACATGACAAAGAGATTGTTTTATCTGTAATTAAAGTTAACATTCTCTGGATCACTTTGGATAAACTGGATAAACTTCTAACATCTACTTTTTGGCATCCATCTAACAGTTGTATAAAGGGCCAAAACTAGTGATTGAGAATGTCTACTCTCTTATTTGTTTGCACTGTCATTAAAGAGGAAATTGCAGAAAGACAGTTCCCTGAATCCTTCTACAAAACCTCACTGCAAGTATGCTTCAAAGTGATAGAGAGAGGAACAAAGGCATGTTGCAACGGTCATCTTCATCGCTGCATTAAGAAAACCACAAAACAACCAAAGTCACAGCACATTGTGACACAAAAAAATATATATGTTCATTGGTTAAAGTGAAAACTTTATTTGCTCACATTACATTCTTTCAAATGCTTCAATACTGATACTTTATGAAGACAAAGGGAAAGCTAATGTATTTCCACCTCCCCCCCAAACCCTTATTAACAAAAGACTTTGTGAGCTAAATAACATTCAATTTCACAATCAACACTTGAAATGATGAAGGCACTTGCAAATGAGAAGGTAGTAAATGTAAACCATATGGTGTTTCATTTTGACCTCTTTACTTAAGATTTGATCAAACTGATTTTTCATTTTACAAAATGTAGCAAAACACGCAGAAGATCTTAGATAGATAAAAACGAGAATAAATATGAAACACAATGTATATCATAGGTCAAGCAGAGGGCTTCCTCATCGGCAACCAGGGTGCCTGTGTGTCTCACATACAGTAAATACAATCCAACACCTCTTCTGCTGTTCCAGTGTGTTGACCTCATTGGATTTTAACAGCATTAACGGATGACTTTTACGTTGTTCACGTTAAACTTGTCTTTAGTACAGGTCCGTTCACATCAGAGGTAAAACACTGCAGATATACACACATACATACACACTGTAAGGGAGTTTGGGACTTTTCTTTCCTCGTATCAATGGGAAATCTCGTTTCAACATTCTACAATTAGTCATATATTGGTTTGTTTTTTTTTTGTCAGAAATTCAACAACAGCTATAGTTTTCTGCAAAGCCATTCAACCTCTTAGCATCTGTATTTCCCCGCTTCAACGCTTAATGCATCTCCCCTCCTTCATCTCTTTGCCCCTCAGGCACTGACAAACACTAGTCTGGCGGTGTAGGCCAGGTCGGCGAGGTAAAGCAGGAAGTTGAGGGCAGTGAGCACCGCCACGGTGATCAGTTCTGACGACGCTCGCCTGCTGCGCTGGTACTGTTTGTCAAACTGGAACACGGGCCAGATGATGGTGGCCGTCAAGTACATGATCACTGCCAGGAGCCCGTACGCCGACAGGAACTTGGAGAAAGGGATGGGCAGGCAGCCGGTGCACTCGCCCACGCACAGCACCACCACGGCCATGGAGAGGATGAAGCAGATGCAGTACACCGCCATGCACCACTTGAGAGCCGCGTGGTGGTTGTACGACACGGGCTCGCTGACCAGGATGAAGATGATGCAGGCCACGAAGGTCTGGCACACCTTCAGCAGGCCGGGAGCCGTGGCCATGTAACCCGCCACCTCTCCTGGCCTCGCTTTGGTCAGGCTCACCTCCCCCATGTAGGCTACCGCCGCCAGGCAGGAGAAGACGGTGGCGGCGATGCGATAGTCGCGAATATCGCCGCTGGGGCGCTGGTCCTTCAGGAAAAAGAGCGGAAAAATGACGGAGGCGGAGAGGCAGAGGAGGGAGGCGTAGCAGGCGATGGTGATGGGGAAGTTGGTCCAGGACACGGGGGCCCGGCTCTGGAGGCCGAACACCTCCACCAGCAGCACCAGCAGCATGCAGGCGAAGCTGAACGCCCAGCAGAAGATGCACCAGTTGGCCATGCCCCCCCACAGCGAGGCTCCGTGCGCCGCCACGCTGAACGCCACGCAGGTGAACAGCAGGGCGGCTACGCGCACCCATAGCAGCTGGGAGGTGGGCAACACGATCAGCGGCATTGTGGGATGTCACACTCAGCTGGGAGTTGGAAGTGGCTTTCTGTAGTCCGGCGAGGGCGTAAGATGAGTCTTTAATGGGAGATCTGGTGTTGGCCGCTTGTCACACGCTCTGTCGACGTTTGTCACATATTCTGCAGAAAAAAAGAAGAGAATCACTTTAAATTGAAGTAAAGTTTTATTTATGTAGATGCAAAATACCGTTATAGATATTGTTGAAAAAATCCTTTGGTGCTTTATATTATAAGTAGAGAATTCTACTTTTTTTCCTGCTCTCTTATTAAAGCCCTAACTTTATGATGCATGCATGTCTGAACAGCCCATAATGAAGACATGCTCAGTTTCGCATTCCAGTTGTAATTATCGTCAAACACATGCTATATTGATGTCACATGTTTTGCTAAATGTTAAACATACTTTATATGTCTGTGAGCTAATTAAAACCTAATGTAATGAGGAAATGACAAACAAAACCGTCAAATGGTGAGAAACTGCAACATCCACGCTGCTGATTTGATCATGACTTGACTATATCTCGTCCTTGACTGGCACGTTGAGGCTCAAACTTGTGTTGCGTAACAGAGGAATGTGTGAGGAACGTGTTCGAGCTGTGACCTGTGCAAAGGAGGATTTACGGGAAGTGGAAGCGTTTCCGATAAAACTTCAAGGCGCTGGAAAGTCCCTCGGTCTGAAACAGAAGTAGGAGTTGTCCATTTCTAACTGCAGAATGTACAAAACTATTTAACATCGGTGCCCTCTAGTGTCCAAACTGTTGATGTGTTTTTTTTTAATGAAGGGTTTTGCCTCAGAGCTGTACAATCTGTACAACATATAATGACACTATTGAAACAGATGTACAACCACAGTTTAACTAGAGTTAAACAGGCCTGAGATCTGCTCATCATTTACAAATATAAATGACAGAATGAAGTTCTCTTCTTGTTGCTAGTGAGGACCGGCCTGCTTTTTCATTTAGTCCTCAGTGATGATGATGTTTATCTCCTTTAATAAATGTCAAGCAGAATAAGGTAGAGCGAGCAGCACGAGGATAAATCTCCACATTCGTGCACAGACGTGACTGTTGACTGATCAGTTCCCTGACCTCGAGACAGAAACATGCTTTGTTCCGATATAAGAAAACCCTTTTTATCTGTTTCAATCTTTTGCTCTCACAATTCCCAGGCATTTATGAGATAAGAAACATAACTTTGCGTGGGGGGGGGCTCATGAAGAGCAACATGGGGTGAGATCCTCCTTCCATTTACACGTTTAATGCACTGACCTTTGGGAGGAGGAGGGCGGGGCTCTTTTCTTACATGTGGTACCAATTATCTTTGCTTTCACAGAATATATTGAAGCCAGGCAGCGTACCTTTTGTCACATGGCCCTGCCAGCTTTTGTTAAAACATGCAGCATTGGACATCTGACACACTAATAATGTTTTTGTTTTATGCAGATGCTTACAGGTTGTTGAACTTTTAACTTAACCTAGAAACGTGGAGAAGAACATGCTGCTTCATTCTGCTAACGCTAACTCTGAACCCAATTAGTCTTTAGGCCATCAACTCCGATGATTAGCTTCCTGTTCTGTGCAATGACTCGCGCAGACAGGAAGCAGCTCTGGTGAGCTAATGGCACGTCTGTAGGGAGACAAACAGGCGAGCCGAATGAGCCCTTGATCACGTTAGAAAGCCTGTTATTACAGTTAGAAATGCAGCTCACTTCAGCTGCAGATCTCAGTTCATAGGTTTAACTTAAAAAATATATATATTAGGTTTAATGCATTATATCTTCTGGTGAAATCTGCGAGTTTAATCATATACTGGTCATGCTTGGACACTTGTTACTAGAGATGGTCGGTTAATGAATGAGCTAAAACCTGCTGTAGCATTCTGAGAAGGATGTAGGTGTGTGTGTGTGTGTGGTGTGTGTGGCCTCACACACACCACACACACTATGCATAAATTTAGAGTTACTGTTTAGAGTAACTGTTATCACTGTTTGTGTTATAGTGGATAAGTTGCACTGCTTTGAAATGAGTTGATGTGACCAGATAAAGCCTCTTAATTAAAACTGGCTGCATACCTGAAATATTTATGCATTCTTTTGTGTCCCCCTTTTAGAGAATCCCGGCTGCAGGCAGACACACAGCAGCCTTATAATGAAAGCGATGAGATTTACTTTTAAGGGTGAAAACTGCCTCATTGCAGAGGTTTTCCGTGCCAAATAGCGGACATACCACGCCCAGCGCTGCGCTATTGTAATCAGTGATCTTTGTCTCTGTTCCAAATAACACACCATGATAAACACTACAACAACTCTCTGTGAGGGGAAACAAACAAACAAATAGAAGTGTAAAGGTTAAACTTACCCGTTTCTCTGCTTTTTGTCTTCAGCTTAAAGTTCCTGTTGTAGCCGTGCGTGCTTGGAGACGCATCCCCTGCTCTCCTACCTCACAGCAGAGAGCGTCCCACGCCCCGCGCTGGCCATATTTGGTAAAGTGTTGAATTCGCTGTCCAAACCTCAGCAAGGTCGTCTATTCCTCATCTCGAGTGTGTCACATTCCGCCAGTGACTGAAATAAACCGTCTCTGAAGATGTGCGATGTGGTGGCCCTCCCATTTTTTTTAGCTTGCAAGAAGTTTGCAGCAATTAACAGTTGTTTTAAACTTACATTCATCACATTACGGATAATGTATTGTCGCAATAGGTAATATAGTGATAATCATACATTGTCACAGCTCTATTAAAATCTGTAAAACTGGAAGTGAACCAAAGTAGAGCATTTTTCTGTGCAATCAGACTTATAACATACAAAGTAGCATTGCAAAGCGTTAATTGCAGTAAATAAATAATGCAATAAATATGTTGTGGTTGCTTTGTGGTTAAATTATATTCTGCCATTTGAAGATGGTTGAATTTTTTGCTGAAAAATAAAAATAAAATATTTTTGGGTTACTGGCCCCTAACCTCATGTTTGGAGGGTTTTTTATAGTTCAAAACGTTATTATATTGATGATGATATTGTCTAACGAGAATAAGACTCATATAAAAGGTACATAAACCATATTATATTTTAACAGTGTTTGATGCACAACATAAACAAGGATTACTTGAGTAGTCTGAATATTTTGCCATATTTGGTAACATTTAAAAACAGATACCAGACTTTGTCTTTTATAAACAATTATACATTGCTAGTTATCCATCGTGCGCTCCTCATACATTTTGTGTAATGTATTTATTTTTATGATAAATGTATTTCCTGCTGCAGAAGCCAAGGATCCACAACAACCAGTGGCATCGGCACTGCGGTGGAGCAAACCGCGTGCAGTACCACAGTCCATCCAGACGAGGGCGCCGTTGTGCTCCGTTTGAACGTGTGATCTTTGAGAACATGGTGGTGTATCAGCAGCCAGTCAAGACAGCAGGATAACAACACAGCAGAGATCACTATTTACAAGAACTGGGCTTTTTAAAAAGGCAGCAGATGCATGCAACGATAACTTCCGAGTCTTCTGGCACACCACGAGAGAGAGAAGCAGACCCGGATTGTACCACTGTGACTTGTTTTGGGGGGTTAAACAAAAAAAACCTGAGCTTTACTGGAATCGTACTGCCTTCTAGCTAGCTGGCTAACATGCAGCTTTAGTGTTTGGATTTGCAGGAAAACGGGACATATCGAGCTGGAATTTGCATGGACGCCCACTATCTCGACCACTTCAACATCCATCTGTCCGCATGCAGCTAGAGTCATGCCGGCGTCTCGTCTTGCAGACGTAGCTGGTTAGCTTAGCTACCCTCCGAGGGGGACCGACTCCTTGACGCGTATGAGAGCCGAACCCACGGCGCTTTCGGTCGGCCTGAGGACCAACGCGATGCCGCGGGTTGAACGCGGCCCTTCCGTAGAACTAACCTCAGGAAGCTAACGCTAGCTGGATATATAGCAGGCCCGCTTTCAGATGGTCGTTCTCACCCACTTAAATCAGCTAATTAGGCAAGTCACAAGATAGATACGTGCGACATTAAAGCTTAACTTGTATGGGATTATTCAGCCAACCACAGCTGGTCAAAGCCACACATGTAAACAAGTCTAAGCGTTTGTTTAGTCCTATATCATTCGCAAAGGTGTCAATCCATATCAATCAAGATAATGCTGCGAGAGTTGCACTTGCATTGAACTTTACCAGCCTACAGTTGGCTTTACTCGGACACTGAAATGCATGGGAGTTGTTGACCCTCCTGCAGCATAGCGAGACATATCAGCCATTCATTCATGATTGATGACCTTTGAGGGAGCAGACTGAGCCACTTGCATCAAGCCACCAGCAGTCTTTTCTTATTGTATTTATTTTGAACCACTAATGGGATACTGAGGAGATTTGAGAGTTCGTTTTGGCAGCATTTTATTCTTTTAAATCCTGCTGACTCGCCTAACTGGAACCACTGGTGGTGGTTTTGGATGGGAACATGAGGAGCACTCATCTGTCCCAGTAGCTTGAAGATCTGATCAAAGCACAACAGAGAGCTCCATTGTGTGGACTGCAAACTGAAGAGGAAAGAGGTGATGATGATGATGATGATGATAAAGGAGGCCCAGTGACAGTGTCGATCTGCAGAGGAGTGTCTCACAGGCTGCAGACATGAGTCTCCGCCAACCCACCTCTACACTCGACAGGTACGAGCCTCGCACGCAAACACTTCATGTGATTAAGGATACACCTTGAAATGCACTGCTCCCTGATCAGCCTTTTGACATGTCTTTATCCGGTTGAGGTCCAGTGTGGCCTCTGGAAAAACTAGTCAGACAGGCTGTGTGATAAACGATAAAGAGTGCAAAAGTACTGTGTGCATAACATCAGCTGCATACTGAGAAACATTAAACCATTTGTTTATGTTCTAATAACCATTTCACAAATGATAAAAAAAAAGCTATTTATTTGTACGTTGTTAATAAAGTTTGTTGACGGAACGAAGAAAAAAAAGGCGGAACTCGACAGCAATAACACAGCGCAGAACCCGGACGATTTATAGCGCCCACACGCTGGAGTTATTCGATATCAAGAAAGGCAAAAATGTTAAGGGTGTCTGTTGGATTTAATATCTTAAAACGTAACGTTAGTATTGTGTGTATACTTTAGTTTGTTAGCCGACCAACTCACCCTGAAGAGAACAGAACTTAGAGAACACACCAAAACTGTTAACCAGTCAATTTAAGTGTTTATTTTACCCAAATACTATATTTAGAAAGAGAAATGAAGTTTGGTACAGACATACTTATAATTTTAACAAGACACGTTTTTTAGATCACATGAAAAAACACTTTTTTGATAGTCAAAAAAACGTTTATCAAATATTTCCCTCATGTTTTTGCATATCTTTGATATTCAACATGTCAAATACACTAAGTGCTTCATTGTGCTCCTTGTAGTTTCTGAGATACAGACATTTTCTTATCATCCTGTATTTAGTCTTTGGGCATAAGGGACTACTGTTTTGTTTACTAAAATATACTGGTGTGTATTACAGAAACAGTCGACCCATAATGCGGAGAGGCAAGATATAATATTTTGTCAGCCAATAGGATTTGGGCTTATGTAAGCGCATTTCTACCAAATTAAACCAAACATTTCAGTCACAGGCAATGATAGGTGAGAGAGAAGACAGTTACAGGCCTCCAAAATAATGCATTTACCTTTCATCATGACCAGTTAGGTTAACTCCCAGTTATATTAATCTGAATTGAGTCATAAGGATTACCGCCTCTTGTGTTTTAAGCCAGTTTCAGTGTCTATTTGTTGAATGTCACGCGTGACTCTGCTCTGTTTAACCGAGCCGCTGCTGAAACCTGATGCTCTTGTGTTTCATCTTGTCAATCACCACCACACTCACCTTGTCGCCCTGCACTGTGCTTCTGTGATTGTCTGTCCGACGCATCGTTGTCTTGATCATGTGTCTTTCCTGTTTCTCCTGCTGTCAACTGTTTTCCTGTGTGTGTGTGTGTGTGTGTGTGTGTGTGTTGTGCACGTCCCTACCCCCTGTGTTTGTGTGTGTGTCATGTGACAGCAGGGCAGCCAATAAGAAAAACGCCCACCCGTTCAGGTAGGACAGCTGTGGCAGCATATTTCTCAGTGGCTGCTCGTGTTATTTCAGGTTAATAAACCTCACTAAAGGGATAATGATGTAGGGATAATTCTGCCATATTGGCCGGGCTTCTGTTCTGTTTTAGATCACTTGTCAGGGTTAAAGTATTGTAAAGCTTAAAGCAGACACAGATGAGGAAGATGGACCGTGATACATCAACAAAGACACCACAGACAAGGAAGCTATGCCAGAGTCTCACTCAGCATCTCATGCCAGACATCAAAGCAGAGTGCCGCTTGACCAGTCGACCTCTGGAATAATACCAAATCACCGAAGTGCTTACACTGTGTGCCCTTGTTCCAATCACCCTGAAGTAAATATATTCCTGGAAGTCCAGGCTCAGTGTTTACAATCTGTACGAGTATGACGGGCGTGGGGATAATGTGAAGCTCTTGCTCAGTTTGTCCTGTTCATTAAAGATTGGTCTTCATGCTGGATTTATTCTCTCTCTTTTCCCCCTTTTTATCTGCCTTTTTCCTTCCTTTCTGTCATGCGTCGCTTTCAGCCCTTTTGCTGCTTGGTGAGTTTTCCCTTTGACTCCTTTCTTGTTGCTTCTAATGCATTTTAGACACACACACACACACACACACATCTCACCATGTGCTCGAAGCCTCTGAATCCTCTGCCTCCTCACATCCTCCTCTCCTCTTTCTCTTTGACATGTTGCATAACTTTGTATTAATCTCGATCCTCCCTCTCGTCACGTATTCCCTTCAGATCTCCCCCTCCCTCAGTGCAACCAACACCCTCGGAGCATCTTCTAAATCATTACCATACTTTATTGTTTCATGCTAAGCCTCCTTTCTCTCGTCTCTCAAACCCAGGCTCAGCAGTCTGACCATCGGGGACTCGGAGCGCAAATCCTCTGCCACCCAGCAGAGGGAGCCAATGGTGGACATCCACGCTGAGAGTACGGGTAACAGCGACTTCCCACGCCGGTGGATTTTTTTTTTCCTCCCCATATCTAAATATCATTTAACATCTCCCTCAACATCCTCCTGTCCTCTTCCAGGTACCGGTCTTGTCCAGAGATGTGTGGTCGTGCAGAAGGACCAGCTCGGCTTCGGCTTCACCGTATGTGGAGAGAGAGTCAAGCTGGTGCAGAATGTCCGACCAGGTGAGACACGTGCACACAACGTGAGTTAAAGTTGTGTCTTCTCACTCTACAAGCACTTCACGGTGTGCCCGTACTCGTCTTTACAGGTGGAGCAGCAGTCAAGGCCGGGGTGCAGGAAGGGGACCGAATCATAAAGGTTTTTACTGCTTTACATCACAGACACCGAATCTGAAATGTGCTGGTTTCTTCCTGTTTTTAGTGTTGCTGATTGTCCTCTTCTCCGTGTTCTCTCTCTCTCTCTCTCAGGTGAACGGCTCGCTGGTGTCCTCCATGTCCCACCAGGAGGTTGTAAAGCTCATCAAATGTGAGTTTGACACAAGTGTGATTGTGTTTTCGGTAAATTTCGGTATTTATCTGATTCCATTACGGCTATTTATTTTATTTTATTTATCGTCCCATAGCGGGTCCGTACGCTGCTCTGACACTACAAGGACCGCCCCCTTTCGCCTCCTCCTTGCCCCTAGAGCCCCTCCCCACTGACCTCACACCCAATCAGAGGACGTCTCTGGGTGGGGAGGCTCCGCCCCCTCCACCTCCACCGCTGCCGTCTGGACTGAGCAGCACCCCTTCCCAAAGAATCACTGGACCCAAACCACTGCAGGTGAATGAAATGATGTCACTTTACAGCCGGCATCATCTTGTCAACAAAAAGTTAAGATTGACAATATGAAGCGAAGATCACGGTAATATACAATGTTGTAAATGTGTCTTTTAGGACCCAGAAGTACAGAAACATGCCACTCAGATACTCAGGAAAATGCTGGAGCAGGAAGAAGCTGAACTGCAGGTACACACACACACACACGCACGCACACACACGCTGTCCCAGTTCAGTTCTGATCTCTGACTGCATCCTCCTGCATCCTCATGTAGACGTAACCCCTTGTTGCATCGTGCTAGTTGCATAAATAGTTAAAAGCTAAAATCTGCTGTTGATAACCACGTAACAGGGGTTGATGGAGGAGCAGTTGAGGAACCCGTCGCCGTCGCTGGGTGAGCGGATTGAAAGTGCCAAGAGGAGAGCTCACCAAGTCCGCTTCAAGATTCAGCAAGATCAGGTGAGGAGACACGACATGTTTTTATCTGTTCACTGAAAACCCCTCTCGATATGTTTTTTGTTTTTGCCCCCATGGAGCGTGGGAAATAGTATTGTGATTTGCAAAAAAATGTTTAAGCGCATCACGTCAGACACCAGGCGAAAAACGGTAGAAGAGCGCATATTCAAATTCACTGATCAAGTCATTTGGAAGTCAAATCAAAAATGATCTGAGGACCTTCTCACAAAATCAACTGAGGCTTTATTCTGCTTCTCCAGGAGGGAACGCGATCAGAATGTACCACAAGCTACGTCCAAGCAGGAGAAGGTTTGCTTCTCTTCATCTTTTACCTTTTTAATGAAATATCTCCGCTACAGACGAGATGAAATAGATGGAGATCTGATTCATAGTGTTAAAGTCATTACAATCAAGGTGAGAGTGGTTTGAAGCTGCTGTGTGCTCTTTGGCAGGTCGGCTATCGATGGACTCAAGCGAAGGAGACATGGAGGTAGGCTGCACAGCTTTGTCCTTTCATAAACCGGTGAGATCGTATGTGTGTGATTGTGTATGTGATGGTCCCACTCATCCCGTCCCCCTCGTGCTCCCTCCCTCCCTCCCCAGGCCCTTGAGAGTCCCCACTCCTCTCCCTCATTCTCCTTCAGGACCCCACACCACCGACGGCAGAACTCCGACACACACACCCTGTCTGATTCGGTGAGAAGGACACACACACACACACACACTTGCATTCACTCTGAGATAGACGCTCCTGGCAGTGATGAGGTCCTCACATGCAGCACAAAGTACTAGAACTGTTCACCGTGTCATTCTGAAAAAACAAAATGATCCCCCTACTTTGAGATGCAGCGCTGTTCTGTCCTCTTCGTCTGTTCCTCTCCATCTCTCTCACCGTGACTTGCATAGCTGTTTAAAATGTACGAGACGAGCGGCTGAGACTGAGAAGATCATTTATCACCACTACCTTCAAGTCCCCCCCCCCCCACACTGAGCCCTGCATGCGCAGCATATGGATGAAAATGGCAGATGTGCTTGTCAGTGTCCTCGAGCGTGTGACTGAGTGCCTTCCTGTCTCTTGAATTCTGCGTGTGTGTGTGTGTGTGTGTGTGTGTGTGTGTGTGTGCGCGCTTCGCTGCTCAAAGGGCGGAAAGGCTCAGATCATCGGCCCGGAGGAAGAAGATGACGGCTATGCATTCAACGAGGTGAGAAGAACGTTCGGTTTGACTCAAAATCCATCGGCTTCGATGGGATGCTTTCTGTTGCCACCTCTGCATTTTCCTTCTTCCATCTTGTGTTCCCTCCATCTACACAATCATTCATGTATTTTTTTTCTTCCTCTGTCTGTCTGTCAGATGGACGGTCCGTTCCAGGACATCGAGTTGCTGAAGTCCCGCCCGGCACACATGGCGGTGTTCATGAGATACGTCTTCACCCAGCTTCTGGACCCCAACCCTCTGGTCAGTCGACGTTGTATTTAAACAAATGTAATGAAACAAAGTGTTGGAAATTAAGTATTTTTGGATGACATTTCTATGATGCCATTGTATGTACGTACGTGTGTGTCCATAACAGCTGTTCTACCTGTCGGTGGAGGCCTACCTGAGCTCCAGCCCTAAAGACGCCCGCGCACTTGCACCTCAGATCTGCTCCCATTTCCTGGACCCGGACGCAGTGAGTACCGACTCGTCTCAATGATTTAATACTTGTATTCCTTAACTGCTGGAGTACTACGTATACCTTGCATCATGTTCAAATTTACAAGAAGAAATGTTTCTTTTTTTCCCCCCGTAGCCTCTGAAAATCAAAGTACGAGAGGAGTATCTCTCAGATATAGGTAAGAAGACCTTTTTGAAGATTTGTTTTGCATTTGTATTTATGCCGCATCATGGCTGTTATAACGGTAGCTTGTGAGGAACGTAATGGTGTCTCCGTTTCAGAGGGTCGCCTTCATGCCCAGGAGGACATCAGAGGACCTCTGTCTGAGCTGCAGCAGCAGGTGCTGCCGGACATCCAAGACCAGATCCAGGACTACAGGTACACCGCAGCTCAAGACTGATAGCAGTTAAGATGAATAACGACCTATTTCAAGAGCTCGTATTAATCCGTGAAGCTTGTGTTTTTTTTCGAAGGAACAAGCAGATGATGGGTCTCGGCTCTTTGTTCGGAGAAGAAGACCTGCTGCCGCTGGATGGAGACCCGGTGAAAGAGAGACAGGTGGTGGACAAACAGGTCACCATCCTCTGGGAAATACTGTGAGTCTCTCCGACTGATGCGGTCCAAATCACCTTCATCTGCGTCATGCCAAACGAATGAGAGTTTAGTTTTCCTTTGGAATTTATTCACATATTTTTACTCTTATGCCATAAGATGAACCATAACTTGGTTTACTTCAACATGTGGCTGCAATCATGAAGTGATTAACCTACACACACACACACACACTCAAGACTGTTGAACCAGGTTTGCCTAGCAACAGGGTCAGATGTTTGGGGCCCAATAAAATAGTTATTACAAAGCGACAGAAGGCTATCATAACAAAGGTCATTACCACAGCGGCAAAACCTGGAAACCACATGACATTTACACACACACACACATTCCCATCACATGACTGCAGCACCGCCGTGTGTCTCTTACACCTTTTCCTTTGCACCTGGATGAACTGGATTTAGCTTCGAGGAATTAAACTGGATATCTCTCAGAAAGCCTGTTGCTTGTTGTGGGGCGAGTTAACAGCCTTTTTATGTCTCTCTTTCTGCTCCAGATCGAAGCATGAAGAGGACAGGAGGTAAACAATGTGTCTCGTCTGTTGCAGTGAAATGTCATTTATCAGCAGTCTTGTTTGAGAGATCTGCTTCTTTCTTTGTTAACATCTTGCCTCTGTTTGTTTTCCCTTGTGGTCTATTCTCCTCACGTTTGCCCCCCCCTACATCTGTCCTCTCTCTCTCTCTCTCTCCCCCTCCCTCCCTCCCTCCCTCCCTCAGCTCACCTCTGGCGTCGGCCGTGCACCTGTACCTGCGTCATTCGGGTATCAAGCTCAGAGACTCCAAGGTCTTCCCTGGTCTGAGCACAGAGAAGGAGAAGTGGCTCGCCTTCTTAAAGACGAAAAAGGTAAAATGGCAGTTGCAGCAATAACGTTGTCTAATGGTATGTTGAATTTTCACTGTGGTACTGTATTTACACACCTAGATCTCACCCGTAGGAGTCTGGAAACCCAGCCTGACTTCTGGGTTCACTGTGTTTTTCACTGTGTACCGTTTTCCCACCAAAATTTGCGCATATTTGCTATAAATAGGCTAAAGATAAACATTGTAACGTGGCTTTAGCGTGAGAACATCACAGGAGCGTGGCTGTTTCTGAAATGCTTGAACTGTATCCAATGACTTGTGCTTTTCTACATTCCAACCTTCCCTCTATGATTATGTGACATGACTTTGTGGTTCCTCTCTCCACAGCTGAGTGGCACCAAGAAAGAGAAAGATGGAGAGGATAAAAAGAGAAATCCCATCCTGAAGTACATCGGCAAACCCCGGTCCACTTCCCAGTCCAGTAAATACAAACACACACACACACACACACACACACAGAGTAAATGATGACTCGTGTCAGTGGCTTTATTTAGGCAAATATCCTTAAATCAAGCCACCGATCGCTCTATTAATCTATTATTGTAACCTGACATTTAAACCCAGCTCACTGTCGAAATACTTACATTTATAGTACATTGAGTACATTGTCAGTATTTAAAATACAATTATCAGTCTGTGAGTAGTCATCATCAGTTGACAGTATTACACTAGCACACCAGATGAGAAGCGCACACACATGTGATGTCAGACCATATTGATTTATTTCTGTCCTCTGTTTGTCCTATTATTGTTTTTGCAGGTTTATTCATTGATTTATGGATTTTTTTATTTGTGTCTTGTTCTGATTTCCCCGTTTCTTTGTGTTTCATTTTGTTTTTGTAGCATTCCATGTCCCGTTGTCTCCCACCGAAGGTATATGTTTTATCATTGCACTTTTGTTTTTTCACAATTTTGATTTCCAACAAACGTACCCAGCTGAGTTGTTATTCATGGTTGTATGTAGTTTGTGTGCCACCTCACTGTAGACACGTTTCTGCTGGTTTGTTTGTGTACTATTTAACTGCACTGTACACTTAAGCAGTGCCCGTGTCTGCAGTCCGTCCTGGCAGTGTGAGAAACATCATTCAGCAGTTTGAGAATCACACGGAGACGGGGGAGGAGGAGGAGGGAGGAGACGCTGCCGACCCGCAGAGGCTCTCCTCCAGCAGCCTGGGGGAGGACAGCATGGACAGGTAGCTCTCTTAAACCACATCATCGGCTCTAGTTTGTATTCAGCGCCGGCTCATGTGGCCGGTGAAGCACCTGGAAAGGGTTCGGTAATGCCGTGTGTTTTCTCCACGCTCTCTCTCGCAGCCCTACGGTCTCAGTGCGTCTGGCACGCAGCGAGTCGTTGAAGGCTCAGGGAGAAGGCCGGCGGCGGGGCGTTGTCTCTGGGACAGAGTCCGTCCCTCGCTCTCGTAGCGACGTGGACATGGAGGACTGCGGGGAGGAGCGGGAGGGGCCGGGCCTCAGGCTGCTGCAGCACAGCACCTCGTCGTCCGCATCCAGCAGCTCCGCACGGTAAAGAGCCACGAAGCCCGAACGTCATCTCAAATTTCTTTGAGAGATTCTCTTTGCATCCTTCAGACAGCTATGAATAAGAATAGAAATAATAACATGAGCTTCCAAGATTAAGACCGCACCCCTTTGACTCAAACACCCGGGACGTGCCCCCCATGGAAGCGTAGGTTTTCACCTCATGCCATCTCTCTCTCCACTCTCTCTCAAACTCAGGTCTCTAGAGAACCCTACACCCCCATACACCCCTCGGTCTAGGCGCAGGTGAGTTTCAATGTCATCCCCCATAGATGATCAGTGATTGTCTGGCAGGGAATGAGAAATAAAGATGGCTGACTTCTCTCCCACACGCACAACTCTTGAAGATGAAATAGTTTGGTTCACAAGAAAGAAATGATCGAGTCTCCCCATAAAGATTTGTTTTGTAACGGCTACGTTAGTGTATTTAAGAAAGGTTTGTCTTCTGTTCGTCTGTCCATCCCGTGACTCTGCAGGAGTGTGGACTCGCCGCTGGCCCTGCTGCCGGACGCTGCGGCGCTGGAGGAGGAGGTGTCCGACGGTCAGAACTGGCAGGACACGGTTCCTCCTCAGCTGCTCGCCACGCTCAGTCCGAGGGAGGTGGAGAGACAGGCCGTCATATACGGTACGAGTCAAATACAACACGCACGTTAACAGCTGATATATATTTTATTTGATTGTGACTTGCCAGAAATCCCAGTTTTGAGAACTCCTTGATACTGATGTTGATAACCCTCTCTGCTGGCGTCCCTCTTCTCTGCATCTTCAGAGCTCTTCACCACCGAAGCGTCCCACCTGCGGACCTTAAGGGTCCTGGACCAGGTCTTCTTCCAGAAGATGAGGTCTGTGCTGAACTCCGATGAGCTGGCCTGCATCTTCCCCAACCTGCCCCAAGTCTATGAACTCCACGGTCAGTCTGTGTAAATGAAAATGTGCACGAGTCGCACTCAACTGAGAAACAAAACTTAAAGAAGAGTAAGCATTTAAAGGTAGAACTTGCCTGTCCTCTTGTAAGAGTGTCACTGCTTTCTGCTTCTTCTGTTTGCACGTTAAAGTGAGTTGTGATTTGAGTCAACATGTAGTTAGGGCTGCGTGTTTGCCAGGTAAATAATAATAAGTGAAGCAAATACCAAGCAAAGGTTGTGACTGTAATCTCAGCCTGCAGCTCTACTGAGTCAATATGTACTCTGGGCTTTAATTAAGAGCCAACATGAAAGGAAATGGTGTGATATTAATGCCAAAGTAGATGACAATTTCAACTCTTAGTGTTGCATCTCTCTCTTATTTGCAGCAAGTCTGTGCGAGGAGATGAAGAAGCGACGGGAAACTCCCATCGTTCAGGACATCGGGGACGTTATGCTGGCCAGGGTGAGTGAAATAATCCCTGATGTCAGTTCCATCTCCTCATTTCTCCTGTGATGTGAAAGGTGTTTGTGTGCAGTGTAGTTATTAGTATGTTGACGGCGGGGGGTGTGTTTCCAGTTTGAGGACGCAGCCGGAGACGAGTTTCAGGAGCAAGCGTCGCAGCTGTGCAGCCAGCAGTCTCAGGCTCAGGAGCTCATCAAGAACAAACAGCGCAAAGACCCTCGCTTCGCTCACATTATCCAGGTACACACACACACACACACACACACCTTTATACCCGTGCAGCCTTTATACCCGTGCAGCCTCGTGCTTTACGTGCTCGCGTGCTTCCCATTTGTTCAGGAGTGTGAAGCGAGTCCTCACTGTCGAAGGCTGCAGCTCAAAGACCTGCTGGTGTCCGAGATGCAGAGACTCACCAAGTACCCGCTGCTGCTGGACAACATCATGAAACACACGGAGGGTGAGGAATCGAGAGACCATCAACACGGGAAAACACGCCAAAACAAAGTACGATTTTTAAAACCGATGTTCTTGTTGTTCCGTTTAGCCGGTTCGTCGGACCTCCCCTCGCTTCAGCACGCCCAGGCGTGTTGCAGAGGGATACTGCAGGCCGTAAACGAGGTTGTGAGGGAAACAGAGCACCGGCAACGCCTCAGCCAATACCAACGCAGGCTGGACGCTGCCCCTCTATTCAAGGTAGTCAAATGATAAAGCTCCCTTCCTTCCTCGTTCACAGGCATGCCTCCCTTTTTGCCTGAATGTGTTTTTGTTTACTCTCCCCCCCCCCCCCCCTCACAGAGTCTAGACCTCAGCACTAAGAGAATGATCCACGAAGGTCCTCTCACGTGGAAAGTCAGCAAAGACAAGCAGATAGGTCAGTACCAGTACCTCTGTGTGGATACGTCCCGTATTGACCCGTACAGTCTCATCGGTGTGGTTTCCTGCCCCTTAATCACACAACTCTGTCTCCCCCCCATCAGAGATCCAAGCGCTGCTGCTGTCCGACTGCCTGGTCCTCCTCCAGAGGGGCCCGGACGACCGGCTGCAGCTGAGGTATCCATCCCGCTGGCTGGGTGGAGGCGGAGGAGGCAGCGGGGACAGCAAGACCTCCTTCAGTCCTCTGGTGAAGCTGTACTCTCTGCTGGTCCGCTCCGTAGCTACAGGTAAGACCCGTGTGTCACACCGATGAAAAGCCGATTGATGCTCTCCTGCGTTCTGGTGCTCAAGTGCGTAAATCTTGTGATTTCTGTCCAGACAACAAAGCCCTCTACGTCATCAGCACCACGGAGAGGCAGATCTATGAGCTGGTGGCCGGGACATCATCAGAGAAAAACACGTAAGCTCTTTTCCTTTACTTGTGTTCACCTCGGGGAAGGCTTTCCGTGCATCCGTGGTCCTCTTCAGCCTCCAGAAACATCTGTTCTTGTTTTCCAGCTGGAAGGATTTACTTGAAAAGACCATCTCCTCGGCTGGCGGTTCATCCCCTCTGATCAATCACGCTTCCACACCTATATCGTGAGTAAATCTGATGTGTGTGAATAATAAATACAGGAATGTGTCGGGGCTGCTTTGCCAGAAGGTTGCTTCAATTTCTTTTAAGACAATTTCTTTTTACACATTTATTTTCGTTGTGTTTTTATTTATTAAAGCTCCCCGAGTCTCCGCAGTGCGTCCCCAGTGTCAACTGGCAGCAATGTCTATACAGGTATTAACCACATTGTAATCATCAGCCCTGAATATATAAACTGTCTGCAAATGTATGTGATCTATATATATTTATTTTTTAATCTTCCAGATAACTCCATAACGGAGCAGTCAGACTCCATGGAGACGCATTCCTCCAGCGACGACATCGTGCTCTCGGCAAACGCAGCTACGGACCAATCGGGAGATTTCATCTGTGGCGAAGGGAAAGCAGTCGGCGTGGCGGAGTCCGCTTTACAAGACGGTGAGAAGGAATCGAACGCATCACTGCTACAAACTGTTGGATGCTAAAGCGCGAGAGCAGCGTGTAAGTGGTGCGGATGCTCCACGGGGATCTGCTCTACAAATGTAAAAATGGCCATATTTATTTATTTACGTTGTTTGGCTTTTTCGACGTCTTTACTGAAGCCAGAGAGGACATTGTGACTGGAGGAATTTAAATGTACTGTATTTTAGGAGTCAGCCAGCTGAGGAATACCAAAACAATCAAGTAAAGTATGTATTTGTGTTCGTTGTGTTCGTGCCGCCACAGTTGAAACACTCAGGCAGCTCATATTACGAGATTTGGAAGAGGACGGTTGGAGCCACGATTCAGATGACACGCCCACCAACGAGACGGCCAATGAAAGGAGCTCGTACGCCGAAAGACGGCGGCCGGAGTCTCTGGAGACTGTCCTCAACTTTAGCACCAGCGAATGGGAGGCCGAGCCTGAACTAGAGGCTCCGCCCCCGGACGCAGAGCAATCCGGCAGCGTTCAGGTCATACGGAAAGGTATCGGATCAAATGGAGAAAAAACAGCTTTCGAAAAGTTATCTTTAATTCTTCGACCGGGCCTGAGTTAATTCAACTCTCATAAAGATTTGAAACCTTTGTTTCTGGGTGTCTTTAATGGCTGCCTTCCTCTGCATGATTTCTCTGCACCCTGTGATTCATTATTTTGTTTCTTACACACTTGAATCTGCTCTTCCTCTTTTGTCTGCGTGCTCTTTCACAACAACACTCGTCACACACTTCACCACCTTCTTCTTCACTCCTTCCTTAATTCACATACAAACCCTTCCACACACACTTCTCTATCCTCTATCCTGTGCTATAGCTGTGGTTGCGGGTCCTTCTTCTTCTTCTTCTGTCCCTGATGACATCACTGCTGATGTCACCCTCCAATCATCCAAGCCGAGAGGCGAGGCCACTACGCAGGGTAAATGACGACTAAATTGGTGAAGTTCTGTAGCTTTTATCAAACAAAGACTTCTTTTTATTTACATTTTTAATATCCATCCAGACAGAAGACAGAGAATCTACTCTTTAAATGACTCACCGGCACACTCTCTGCCCTCTAGGGAACACTTTCTACCTGGTCCTGCCTACAGAGCAGGGAGAGAGCGTGACCGATGACCTCAAAGACCCTCCCGCCCCCACCGCCAGCCACTTCCCCCGGCCTCTGGAGGAGGCGACGTCGCCACAGACGCGGCCGGAGGAGGAACCGCCGGCCTGCGCTCCAGAGCCCAGCCGATTGGAGGCTGTGCAACCGGAATGGGAAGAGGAAACGGGCCAATCGCAGGCCGGGCACCAGAGCCACGTGATCAAAAACGTGGATGAGATTTTCCACACGATCGAGGGGTTGATGAGCAAGTTGCGCCAGCTTAAGGTGAGTTTGTGTTCAGGGGGTAACGAGGTGGCTGTCTGGACTGGGGAGCTTTACATTAGTCTGACGCTGATGTTCTTCTTGTTTAATGTCCTGCATCGTCACCCCTTTACAGGAAATCGAGAAGTCCCATCAACAGCTTTTAACGACCCTTAGAGAGCCTTTTGTCAATCAGGAGTCGGAGGAGCAGCAGTGTGGCTCTGCAACCGTCTCCAGGACACCAAGTCTGGATCGTGGCTCAGGAGACGGTGAGGGGCGGCTGAATCTTAAACCTTCACAAAACAATGGCTGTTTACTTTACTATTTAATATGTTCATTTGTTGTATTTCCCTTGAACCCAACCAGGCAAAGAGGGCAGTCCAGCAGAGCCCAAGATTCAGTCGACGGGATTCTGACGTCGCTGCAGAGAGGACGTGCTTGCGGTCGCTGGATCTTGATCGTTGGCATTACGGAACGCACTCGTACGTACCCACCGTCAGACTCGGGGGGGCACCTCCGCCCTGCCTCCCCCTCACCCCCCCCCCCCCTCGTCCCTGCATGCACTGGCCAGTGGAACAGAGCCCGGGAAGGACAAGTGGCTGTTTTCAGCATCAACCTCTTGACTCTCCTACCAGAGCACGAGGGAGTCCAGGACGGACTGAGGAAAGAGTGTGAAGGAACAAAACAAAATAAGGCAGAAGACAAGTTGACTGGTGACGAGAAAGGAAAAAGTTGGAAGAATGGAAAGTGGGGGAAAAAACATGACCCACGTTGGATATCTGTGAAGGAAAAGGAGTTGTGTATGTCTTGCTTTTAAAGAGCTGGTTGAAAGAACGGAGCAGAAAAGTGTTGAATCGTTAATTTAAGGACAAATCCGAGGGACCCATCACCCCTGCACTTTACCCACAATGCATCCCTCTGTCATGTACGTTCTCTACTGTGGACGGATCAGGGACTGGAGATGCCACTGACTTTATTTGGGGGCTGATGTTTAAGCCCCCCCCCCCCCCCCACCTCCACTGGTTGCTTTACACTGAGTTCACCTGCCACCACGGCCGAAGGACTGTGTCTATATAATTCAGGTTATTTGCACTGGGTAAGGAAATCAATATCACACACACACACACACACACATTTAACCATTTCATTCATCTCAGACCTTCACATCCCCACATTGTGGTGGGAGAGTCTCTAGAGTCGTTGGGAGCAGTTGCAGCCACACTGACGCGTCCTCAAGTCCTCATTTAAGTGACACGGAGTTCATACTTAAGTTCTGGAAACACTACTGCGCTGTTTACTACTGAAATGCTGCTTCAGAGGCGTAAAGGGATCTCAGTGGATTCACACGGCGCTTCTGATCATGTCAAGTTGTTCAGCTTTTTTTTGGGGGGGGAGATTTAGGATGCTTTGGGGGAAAAGCTCAGGGCAGGCTATGTTGACGACAACTGTGAGGAAAGGAGACAAACACGCAGTCGAACTTTAGAAACTTGAATATTCGCTGAAAACCCCGTTTGTAACTCAGCTAATGATTGGACTGTGCACCCTCCAAACCTCTCTCCAGTGTATTGTGTGTGTACGTACCGCGGTACATACTGTGAACCAGCAACTTCTCCCTCCTCCCAGTGTCGGAAAGACCCTCTGCACAGAACAACTTGAGAAAATCAAAAGCTTAATAAAATAACTTGTTGTAAACCCATACACATGCTGCTGTACATGCAACTGTTCGATGAAGCAAAAATGTATCTAATTGAATAGTTTGACAATTTGGGAAATACACTTATTTGCAAAGATCAATACCACTTATGTACAGTAAAAATGAAGCTAGAAGCTGCTTAGCTTAGCTTAGTGACTGGAAACAGGGGAAATAACTAGCCCGGCTCTGTCCAACTGTATCAACATCTACATACCAGCGTCTCTGAAGCTCATGTTAACATGTTCTATCTCATTAGCTCCTGGAGTCTCTGTATGTTTCTCCGCCTGAACGTAATTAGTGAACTTAAGAGGTGCTCGTCGGTGGATTTTAGAACCTTAAAACGGGGCCACGCTCGCTGTTTTCCCGCCTTTGTTTCCAGTCTTTGCGCTAAGCTAACTGGCTGCTGCACGGTACTCAACACGCAGACACAAGAGTGGTATTGATCTCATCCAACAGCAACAAAATGTCTAACTATTTTTGGATCATATGTAGGAGAGATTTAACGTCCTTGACGTTCAGAGAGGTTTTTGAACGCCTTGGTTGAGGCTCGTGTAACCAGCAAAGACTGACACTAAAGCCAAGTGCTTTTTTTTCGGCATTTATCTTGGACTAATTCTACCAAAACACTAGACAGACAATACACATTATCTTATCAAGCTGGGAGGAAACCCGCTGGACTGGATTTTATTTGAGCTGGTTTCAAATACTAACTGACGAGCGCTTTAGTGAGTTTACCCGGACGAACCTGACAAAACACTACCGACCTGAACAAACCAGACGCCAAGTACATTTACACACCACCAGCCAGACGACACTATTCATGGGATATTTCACTACCTGGTGGAAGGTTTTCACTCTTTAGCCAACGAACACCGACGGAGATGAAACCTGGCTTTCACATATGAACAAAGAGAAAAAGAGTTGAAACTTAAAATGAGTGCTACTGATCGGCTCATTTTGAGGCCGCTGGCCCCGTGTGAACTTGAGGAATTTCTGCTAAAATGTTTAAATATTCTACCAAAGTGAAATATGTCTTCAGAGGTGTTTGAAGGGAACAGTTTGTTTTTTGTCTCTCGATATTTTTGGCTGCGGATTTTCAAGCATCTCAGACCAGATGTGTTTGTCCACGACATGAGAAGAGAAAGCAACATATTTCCTTTTTTGTTTTACCACACTTCCATGCCACCACGCTGTGGCCGCTCAGTCATCGCACGCATAACATATGTGTCGTGCACAAAGCGATGCCAGATGGTCTGAGCTGGTTGGAGCCAAGTCTCTCCTCTTCTTTCCTCCCCACCTCTAACTACAGCATTTTTTCATCTCAAATTTTCTACCTCTACACCTCAGTTTCTTTGTATCTTCCATGATTTCTTCTTTTCAGACATTTACCTTGTACATTGACATCAGCGTTTTGGCCTCAACGGGCTGTAAAAACAAAAAGAAAGAAGCTATAACTGATTCCTTTAAAAAAAAAAACAACAAATGTTGCACAAACAAACTTCCCTGCACGGTGCAAACTACTGTATGCGTACACACGTCTTTAACTATCATCTCATTGTCTTTATATTTTGTCTTTTTAAAAAAAATTAAAAAAAACATTTGTCACTCGTGTAATATAGAGAGATCAGACCCACTTGTTTTATATATGTTCATTTTTTTTTTCTTTCTGTAAAGCCTTAGTCCTCGTATTTGATTTTATTTTTGTAGATATGATTAAAAACAAAAAAAAAAAAGGATGTATAAATTATTTTCTTCTCCCTTGTTTGTAAAATCGGTGAGATTGTTTAGCTGCACAGAAGGAAAAGAGAGCTCGTGTCTCAGATTCGTGTGTTTTGTGAGATTAAAAAAAGAAACTGGCTAAAGAAAATGAAATGTGGATCCTGAGTCTTTGATCTTTGAGTTACATTGTCAATTGTTTTCTACCACTTCAACTTCTACCATCTTTCTAAATCAACCAATTTGAGAGGATTTCTCCAGAAACTAATGCCAGAAAACGCTTTTATTTCCTGTGATAGTGAGAACAGAGCCGCCTACTCATTGCTATAGTTGTATTTGTGGTTAAAGGTGGAAAAAAAAAATCCTCTGGATTTGTTATTTTAAATAGTCTAAGAAAAGAAAACAATGGATTTAATCTAGTTCATGCTCTGTGAAGCCTAAATGTGTCAATTCATATTTGCTAAGAATATGACCGGAAATTAATTATTCTTGGTGTAAAAATAAAAGAACGTTTGCAAAAGGTCTAAGCGGTATAATAGAGGTGTACATATTAGTATGATACTTACTTTTTAAATACAAGCAGATACATAACTTACATTTGTCCGAACTCAGCTAGAGGCAATAAATGGTTTTCTGTTCATTATGTGGTCAAATTAGACATTAAGTGAAACAATTATTTTTATTTACAATATAAACACCACCTCATTTTTCTAGGTCATATTGAACAGATTTCTTTAATCAAATGTACGTGATTGTCTTCATATATTTGTAGTTTGTACATTTAATTATATGAGGTATTTACATGATGACAACTTCTACTAATTAATGTAGACCATGTTAATCTAAACATCCGAACACAACTTGGTACATTCCCTTTTTCATTTCTTTCTTTCATTGTTGTACATTTTTGTGGCGATCGTTATTGCTGCTTTATTCAAGAGTAATTATTTTTAATATAATATATGATATAAAAGCAGAGTATTGGAGAGCAGAATCCCTTCAACCTTAAAACACCATTTTCACTTTGAGATGAGGAGAAAATGTTTATTAATAATTTATAAAGATGCCGCAACGTTCAGACGTTGCTGTTGCTCTTCGGGTCTGTTTTTACATTAATTATTAATGTATTTAACCACTCAATGTAATATTTAAGAGCAGTTCTTTAGAGGATACAATGTGCAATTCAAATATGTGGCAATGCTTTGACCGTGTTATTGCATTATTTATCTATAACAGTTATAGATAAATAATGCAATAACACCGTCATAATTGTAGAATGGCAATACGTTAACATTGTTATAGTATGACAATGTTAACGTATTGTCATTCTACAACACAGGGTTGCACAACGGAATCCTACTGAGGCATGTGTCTGTGAGTCGGGTTTGTTACATTGTAACGTGTTGGTATTATTTTGAAAATCCCGTCCCGGAAGCTGTGGGTGTACTCTATGTAATTTGACGGTGTGTGGCTCTCAACCGGGGCCGCCTGGGCGTCCACACAGAGCCGCTCAGCGCAGCGGGGCTCCGGCACACAACAGATGCGGAGCCGGGATGAGGTGCGTGTCGCTGCCTTTTCTTTCTCTGTGTGTGTGTGCGCGGCTTCGATTTAAGATGCGATTCAACAGCCGAGAAAGCAACCGCAAACAAATCGCGTTCACCTGAAAAAAAAGGGGAAACCAGTTGCACCGTTGAGCGTGGAGACTGCGGGCGGATGAGAGTCGGGAGAAAGTGAACGCGGAGCTTTTTGGAGGCACTTTTCGTTGCTCGGCTCTGCTGCTCGTCTCTTTGTGCTGCGGGTTTGCAGCTTCCCCCCCCCCCCCCCTCCTTTGGATAGAAAGGTAAGACATTCCTGCATGCATTATGGGTAAAAATGGGCTGTTCGTGTATAAGCACGAGCACACCGGCTGATTGCTGCTTTAATGTAAAAAAAAAACCTACAAAAACATTCAATCCCCATTTATTTTTTCTCCACAAATACTTTCTTGATTCCAGTAGCTGTGCGCGGTCTGTCAGGACTGATGAGTTGGCAGATAACAGTATCGATCACAGATTCACTGAAGCTGATTTTCACCACCAGTGTGAACGCGATCACCGGGTTTCCACGCTCACTTGGAGCTCACTTATTCATTGTTCTTATCCGCGCACTGTAACCGGTTTTGTTTTTTTGCGCTTTTACGCACTGTGTGCCAAATTGAACCCTGGTAGGTTTCCTTCCCTGTGGCCACATCAATGTTTGCTGTGCGGTCTGTTGCTCATCACTTCATCCTGGGTGTGTTCCGCTTTGTCTCAAATCACGGACTCGCTGTGTGTTTCCACTGGTGTTTGAATCGACTGCCCCGTGATGGTCGCCGGTTATTCGTGCGCGCTTGCAACGTGAAGGCCTCGAAGCCTGGGCTCTGGGTTGCTTCAAGGAGTCCGTGTCGAGGCTACAGCCACGCCTCGCCGGCCCACTGCCGCCCTGAGGCCTGGAGGGCCCCTCGGAGCCACAGGGGCTGCAACCTGAGGCTGCACGCATGCAACAAGATGTTCCACCCAAAACATGAGAGGGAAAGGGAAACATTTCACTTGGCAACAAAGTCAATACGCTTGCACTCAGTTTACATGTAATAATGCAAGTTTAGTGACTTATTTAAAAAAATACTTGATAAACCTCAGAAAAACCTATTGCACAATATTTCATGACAAGCATCTTCTAGCCAGTGGTTGACATTTTTTACAGTGTTGTAACATTTTTCTGTCCTGGCCAGTTTGTTTCCACACTGCACGTGGGGCCTCTAGCATCCCAGATGATGCTCAACGTGGAAACCAGTGCAGATCAATCAGTGGTGGATTGATTACAGTGGATGAGGCTCATCGGAGAGATCGATGGGATTGACTGTCTCAAAACCGGGTGGGAGAGAGAGAGACGGATTTGTTCATGTTCATGACACCATAGTATTGTTTAAAATCTGTGAGGATCTCTGATGTTGTGCAGTCTGGCATGTCGGGTTAAAGCTCTGACTTTACTCTCATGTTCTGTGCTGTCTGGCCCAAGATTTGACCGACATACACTTAGAGATTTGTAAGTTCCTGCTCATGAATAAGGCTTGTTAAGTCTGCACAAGCTGCAGCAAAGATCATTTTTCATGCCACAAGAGAATGTGATTTCCATTTTTACCCAGAAAGCGAGCGGAGTGCTCTGCCTGACGTGATGATGAGACAATATTATAATTTTTTTAAATGCAGAGAGAGATGTTTTCCCTGTACAGCGTCTCTAAAAGGTGTTTTTAATGTTTTATTGTCTCTAGGGCCGTTCCGGGACATTAACATTGTTGTGCGTTCGTGTGTAAAGCTTTGGCTTCATGCTTGGACTCATTTTCATGCCGGAAAACAACTCTTGACCCCAGGTGTTTCTTACAGGCTCCATATTTAGCTGCGTTCATCTCTCCCTCTGCGAATATGGATGCATCAGTCTTTAAATGTTTCATGCAAACGTTTCAGAAAACGCTGTAGATGTTGTCACCGGGATCGAGAAACTCTGTGAATTGTTGAAGCTCCTTTTGCACTGAAATGCAGTTTTCAGAGCGGCCTCACATTATGAGTGTCCCAGCTGAGAGGTCCGCGTGTGAATCACGTGAAAGCCATCACCGAACACTGTAGCGTCTGATGTGGCAGACGGACACGGGAGGTCATGGCACAAATTGAGAGCGTGAGATTTGTTATTGGACTAAGAGTCTGTTTGTTCTGCGTCCAATTGCAAAACGTCAAGTTAAAATGGAGGACAGGAACTGATTCGGAGTCAGACTCCTGGTAAATGATTAGTGTCTGTTCCTGTCTTCTGAGGTGTGTATTTGAGGGAGAATGAGAGAGGGGGGGTTGCAGAGTTGTTCTGGTTTCTGTGGCAACTCCCCCCTCCCCTGTCTTTTCTCACCCCTAGCCTCCCATTCATCCCCATTGTAGTAGTTAAGCTCTGTTGCCCTGAGAGACCACGGGGGACAGTTGGGGAATGTGGCGTCCGGGCGAGGATGTATCACGCAAAAAATAAAAAAAAGATGAACCAGCACCAGCGGGTTTGTCTAAATGAGACGCTGTGACCGTTCTGCCTCTGCTCCTCCTGCATGCGGGGCCCACCGGAGACTCGTAGCCGAGAATATAAGTTTGCGTAATTGCCCTTTATTGGCTGAGAACACACTCGGGGAGGGGGGGGGGGGGCAAATAACTTGAGTTCGCTCATAAAAAAAATAAAAAAAGCTCCCTTAATCCGGAAGAATGGGCCCGGTTATATCCTGTGTGACTGAAAACACACCTCAGAGTGCCAACATCTTAACAAGGTCTCTCTTCTTGTTGCTGCTTCTTGGTGTGTTTCCCCTCTGAGGCTCTTGTATTCCTGTCTGTTATGACAAACTCTCTCACTCTCTCTCTCTCTTTCTGCCTCTCTCTCTTTCTCTTTCTACCTCCCTTCTGTACAAACTCACTATTTCTCTCATTTCTCTTCTCTCCCCCCCCCCCAGGCCTCCAAGATAGATTCCCTCAGGAGTAAAGTGGACTTGCTGCGCCTCCCTCTGGCCCTCTCCACCAAGTCCATCAGCAATCGTAAGAGCCAGCTGGGCGTGGTCTGGGAGAAAGGCGGCGGCGGCTCGTGGGCAGGAGGGGCCCGGAAACCCCGCCCACCGCCGGCCTCTGACATGGACAACGAGTCGATGTACTCGGGCTACTCCTACAAGTCGTCCCACTCGCGAAGCTCCCGCAAACACAGGTAAGAAGCCCGCAGGTTCTCAGAAGTCTAACTGAATTTGGCACTTTTATTAAAAGACATCGATTAAACATAACCTGCCAGGAAAGGCGGTTTAAAAATAGTTTATCCATCAATACTAAACCATCTGACTTCTTCTCCTCCTCCAGGGATAAGAGGGACAGGCATCGCGGGAAGAGCCGCGACAGCAGCATCCGGGGAGACAAGTCTGTGACCATCCAGGCTCCTGGAGAGCCGCTGCTGGACGCCGAGTCCACCAGAGGAGACGACCGGGTCAGAGTTTGATTTAAATCGTTCCTCTTAAGCCACGTTGTGCCGCGTTTCTCCCAACGCTCATCTCCTCTCTGCTCTCTCCCTCTCTCTCTCCAGGATGACAACTGGGGCGAGACCACCACGGTGGTCACGGGCACCTCCGTGGACAGCGTCTCCAACGAGGACCTGACACGGATGTCCAAGGACCTCGAGGATTCTTCGCCGCTGGAGTGCCGCCGTTACCTCAGCCCAGCGTTGGGCGCCGTCCTGGGCCTCTTCGCCCTGGTCACCCCTCTGGCCTTCTTGGCGCTCCCGCAGCTCCTTTGGCGGGATACGCTGGAGCCTTGCGGCACGCCGTGTGAGGGTCTCTACATTTCTCTGGCCTTCAAGCTCCTGATCCTCCTCATCTCCACCTGGGCGCTGTTCCTGCGCTCGCCCAGAGCCACCCTGCCGCGCTTCTTCATCTTCCGCTGCCTGCTGCTGGCGTTGGTCTTCCTCTTCGTGGCGTCCTATTGGCTCTTCTACGGGGTGCGGGTGCTGGAGCCCAGAGAGACGGACTACAGGGGGATTGTGGGATACGCGGCGTCTCTGGTGGACGCGCTGCTGTTCATTCAGTACCTGGCGCTGGTGCTGCTGGAGGTCAGACACCTGCAGCCGGCTTTCTGCCTGAAGGTTGTGAGGACCACAGATGGAGCTAGTCGCTTCTACAACGTGGGGCATCTCAGGTTAGTGTGTGGGGAACACATCTGTAATCACATCTGCATTCTTATTTATGAAATATTTCTATTTTTTTTTCTATTTTAAATGTGCTCTTATTATGGGGTTTTTAAATTAGTTAATTAGTTTTTTACTAAACATTTCATTCATTTAAAACAAAAAAAACCATAGCCATCATCAAGAAGGTTTATCCGTGCAGCCAAACAAAGTACACGTTTCAAAGGTTTACGTCATGTCTACGCAGGAAGCATTTCAGCTGCATTTTTCAGTCATCCGTGCTCGACGGTGCTTCTACTTGAATCCTATCCAGCTGTCTAGACCGGCCACATGATGGAGCTACATGCATAAACGCGTCCTCAATACTCTGCCTGAACGCATCCCTGTGTAAACACAGATGGAGGACAGAAGCTGCTGCTCGTGCTCTGCCAACATGCTGCTCGTGTTACCGCCTGTGTGGGCGCGGTGTTGGATGACGCCATATTGTTAACATTAGGGGAGTCCCGACACGGCAGCTGCAACTTTTGACCCACACTCAGCAACCCTATTTAGGTGACACATGGTTACAAATGCCTTCCCAGCAAAATGTTACTCTTTTTGCCTCATCTATAGACGGCGCTACAGCAAAATAAATAGACAGTAAATGGACATTGTCAATTAAAAAATGTCTTTTTCTTCTCACAAGCGGATCAGTTCCTGCATGCTATAGCTACTATATGGCTTTTAAAGTCAACCTCCAACTGGAGATGGTCGTTTTGTGCTTCATCATGCCGCTCCTGCCCTCCGTCATCGCTCTGTCAGAGCTGTTTTTAGTCTGGTGGGCCTAACATTCCCTCGGTGCGGCAGTGGGGGTGACTGTTTCCGCCTCTGGTTCACCACTTCCCTTTTATCTGCATGTTAACATGTTCCAACTGTCTGCTTGGTCAAAGGTGATGTACACTGATAACAGCACTTTGTTTTCAAATGAAAATGCCAGTTAAAGGGAAGTTCTCTCCTCCCCCCCTCCTAGTATTCAGCGGGCAGCCGTTTGGGTTCTGGACCAGTACTACAGTGACTTCCCGGTCTATAACCCCGCCCTGCTCAACCTGCCCAAGTCCATCCTCTCCAAGAAGATGTCTGCCTTCAAGGTCTACAACCTGGGGGAAGGTGAGATGACACATTGGTAGTATGTTGCCTGTACTAGCAATGAGATAATGATACAGGGGAGTCTGCAGTATGAGATATATTGAATTGTTTATTGTATGGAGCTTTATTTTTTGATGTCTGTCGACAGAGAACAGCACCAATAACTCTACGGGACAGTCCAGGACTATGATCGCAGCCGCTGCTCGGAGAAGAGACAACTCCCACAACGAGTACTACTACGAGGAGGCAGAGGTGGAGCGGAGGGTCCGCAAACGCAAGGCCAGGTGAGGACAGAAATGCATACAACACGTTATTTGTGGTCATTGTTGATATGAAGACTATCTATAAAAGCGGCTTTATATTTTAAGTTAGCGTCTCGCTCACTCTCCCGTTTCTCCTCCCTAGACTGGTGGTGGCGGTAGAAGAAGCCTTCACCCACATCAAGCGACACCAGGACGAAGACGCGACCACGTCCTCCCCCAAACACCCGCGGGAGGTGATGGACCCCAGGGAGGCGGCCCAAGCCATCTTTGCCCCCATGGCGAGGGCCATGCAGAAGTACCTCCGCGCCACCAGGCAGCAGTCCTACCACAGCATGGAGAGCATCATCAACCACCTGCAGTTCTGCGTCACGCACAACATGAGCCCAAAGGCAACGACGCTAGTTTAAAATTTTATTTTTATTTATTTTACAGTATTTCTGTGTTGAATTTATTGTATTTTTCATTTTATTTATATTTTTGATAATTTTTTTTGCATTTATTTTATTCGATCTTATCACTTTTTTTGTCTAATTTATAGTCTCGGCATTTTTTGTATTTTAATTTATCAGTTTCTTCAACAAAAACTGGTTAGTTGTCTGCATATTATGAAGCTTTTTTTTGCATTTAACCCCATTTTTTCCTTCACTTTCTGAGTTGACCCAGTTTACTTTACACTCTTGAACATTTTCTTAAAAGTAAACGTAAACATAAATCTTGACAGCGTGGAAATTTGAAATTGATTTGAAAAAAGGATTTTTTTTATTTGCAGCTCTAAAAGTTATGTTTTACTTTTTATTATATATATTATTATATCTCTCCGCTCCATGAAACAGATACTGACGGTGCATTAGTGCAACTATTTATAAACTGAAGTGCATTTGTGATGTTTCCTTCTCAGGCTTTCCTCGAGCGTTACCTCAGCCCCGGTCCCACTCTGCAGTACCTGGACAACACCAGGGGGCGCCAGTGGACACTAGTGAGCGAGGAGCCCGTGACTGCTGCTCTGCGCCAAGGCCAAGTCTTCTCCTTGAGACGCCTCGACTTCTCCCTGGTCGTCACAGTGGCGCCCCTCCCCTTCTTGCGCCTGGGCGAGGAGTTCATTGACCCCAAGAGGCACAAGTTTGTCATGAAGCTCCAGTCAGAGACGTCTGTGTAGCAGAATGGGGACTCAGAGATACTATTCTTAGTGCTTTCAGGGTATCTTTTTTTTTATACCTTTTTGATTTCTATTGGTTGATAAGCGCAACACCCAAATGACATGGCTAAAATCGTTACAGAAAAGTCAAGGCAACAGTGATATCTGACCTTGTATGTTTGTTCCTCAAACGAACATAACATTAGACACTTGCCTGCACTGCCGGCTGCTTCCTGTTTTTAGGATACTTCGTATTGGTTCCGCTTTGTAGTATTCAAACACACATTTAGTGAAATACATTTTTTTTTTGACAAAGATTTAAACCTGAAATGACCGCTTGAGTCTATAAAATTGGATTTTAGCCACATTTGTAATTCATGCGTATGACATTTATTCAAGAGCATGGTGGTAAATAGAACAAACAGTCTTCTGTGCGTCTGCTGACCTTTGTGAACGCACAGTCCGACTTCAGAGCCTTTCGCTTTAGCTCAGAGCTTAATCCTACTTCTCCCTTTTTTACGAATTTGGCGTTTACAGGCAACAAATGTGTAGAGTCGGGAACTGACTTGTCGGTCTCCTGGTCCTTTCTCCCAGTTTGAACATTGACTGGATACGCTGACTGAATCAAACGGAGCTGAAACTGCATTTTGAACTGCTTTCTGCATAGTTTCCACTGAAAGTATTAAGTAAGAAACACTGGATGGACTTGATGGACCGAGCATTTCATAATTGTTTTGTAATATTTCTTGCTCAGGTTTCGTTGAATCACCTACAGATTATGCACTCCTGCACTGAGGAAGAATAGAGCTTTCTAAGCACAGTCTAGGACCAGTTTATGACCAGTCACACTGATGGCAGATGCTGTCACCTCTACCTATGAAGTTTGAATATTGGATTACAGCCAAGTATCGCCAATGTGCTCTTTGTTTTTTTTTAGGCAGCTTAATGTTAATTATCGTCTTTGATATTTTGCATAGTGTGTGAATTTGTGTGTGTGGTTGAGCGTGGCTGCATCATTAACCAGACAAAGTGGCCAACTGTCTCATGGCCTGTGACCCAAAAGCCCCAGGTTCCCCTCCATGTACGTGACTTGATTAATTCAAATGTTTAGCAATTGAAATGGCTAAAGTGCGATATAATCCAAGAGTGGCCCTTCATTGCCTAACCCTCGTGGCCCCGTCTTGTGTCAAATTGTAATACTTTAATAAAAAGTACTTCACCGATTTAGCCTTGCACTCCGATAATATTGTCTGACTCACGATGGACAGTGAAAACCTGATGCAGCACAACCAGAGATTTGCCTTTTTTTTTTTTTTATTCCACATATTCTTCTTCCTGGTGGTGCCTACATTACCCACAACGCAACTCAACTGCCACATCTCGATATATATCGCATCCTCACTTTTTTACACGACTGTACATGGCCACTTTTTCATCAATTAATACAAGCTGTTAGATAAAGCTGGACTCTTTATTTAGAAGGTGCAGAATCAAAATCAAAAGGTCAGGCAAAGTACTTGCCAATTAATTGTCTGTTGATTCATAGACTAATTTCTCACAGTAGTTTGTGCCCTATACTGTATATTAGGGGTCAACAGGGGCCCCCCAGCAGGTTAATCCGGCCATGGGTTGATGCGTGTGCACATTAGTGTGTCTTTTGTTCTTTTTATACTACACATAGAGATTGTCGTGCTGCTCACAAAGCAGTTCTCGTGTACTTTTTGGTGCCGTTTTCTAAGGTTTTGTGTTATCTGTTTTTCGACGGATCACTTTGTTGTACTCGATATAAGCTCCTAACATTTGTTCTTGAACGTTGTCTTTGAAAGCAAGATTGTTATTTACTGTTGTGCTGTGTTTTTTTTTTTGTAAAATGTTTTTAATAAATGATCTCACCCAAAGTTATTTGTCTCATGTTAGTCACAAGTTATCTTTAATTTTTTCTTTTCAGGAAGTGATGTAAAAGTATTCAGTTTCAGTATTTCCACTGGTCAATGTGGAATTTACCCAAAAAGTACCATTACGATGTTTTTGTCCTTTTTCAGGCTGATACATTTGATATCAAGAGTGTAAAATGTATTTTTAAATCTATGTGTAGAATTTATCACCCAATCCAAAATATTGAGTCACTCCTGGAAGATAACGCATGTTTTTTATGTGTTGAAATGTTATCTCAGTGCAGCACGTGGTTTTTCTGAAAAAAAAGGAAGAGGTTGCGTCCAGGGTCTTTACACTCTCTGTCTGTGCGTTGCCACTCGGCAACAATGAAACTTCAAATCCTCCTCATTCTGTTCCTCCACGGTAGGTCCTGTTTTCATTTTATGAAAATATCATTAAGCACCAGCGGCTTTATGGCATTTACAAAAAAGATATATCAATATTCTAAATGACAACTGACAACCGAATAGGTCACGTCTTTGGGCATGAACAATACAGGAAGTGTGTAAATTATGGAACTCGCAAAGTGTATTTCTCATCTTCAAAATTAACTTGCACATGCTGAAAGTTTTGAGTATATACTATTTTATGTATACTGTATTTACGTCTACTCCTGAAAAATGTCCAAATGATACAGTTTGTACTCGGTTTGGCTCTAAAAATGGCAAAGTTGGTCTGAGTGTTGGTCCACCCTGAGATAACTATTACTTGGATTACCATGACATTTTAAACAGACATTGCTGAAAATATTTGAATCATCTGCGGTCTATTTAAGTTTAATATACGACCAGAGTGCTTCTCTCTTAAACGGCGCAACCTTGTACATCTGGCCAGGACTAATAACTAGAAAGCTACATGTTGCATGGTAACTAGTGGCACCTTGTGAGTGTCAGGGGAATTACGTTCTGTCACTAATGATAGTGCTGTTAGCTAAAGTTAGACATTTCAGTCCACAACTCGACAATTTCATGTGAAAGTGAAATGGAAAAGACATTTGGTTTTGTGTCCCTGAATCTTGTCCTGGCTCCCTAAATTGGCAATCTGTCATCAGAACATTGAGAACCTCTGGTATCTATATCATACAAAAATAAACTCTCATAGTATGTCACACAAAGAGTTATTTCAAAAGTCAAAGTGTAGTGTACCATGAAATCGTCAGAACTCAGAAGTTTAGTGTGCTATAAAAAATGTGAACAAAATTATAATATAGGATGTAAATGAAAAAGTGAAAATGTTGTATTATAGTACACCATAGGCTTTAATAAAACTAGTCATTCAATAGTATGTCAAAAAAAGTCATAGTATGTATGACTTTTTTTTGACGTAGTATACTTTGTTCGAGATGCTATACTATGAACATTTTTCGATATATTATACTGTGACTTTTTTATGACTTTCTTCGACATATTATAGCATGTCGGAAAAAAATACAGAGGTTTTAGTATAGAATGTCGAAAAAAGTCAGTGTATGTAAACAAACTTCATAAAAGTCATGTTGAAAAAAGTGATAAAAAATAGTATAGTATAGTATGTGGAAAAAAGTCACAATAAAGTCATAAAGCCATAGTGTAGTATGCCGAAAACTATGACTTTTCTAAGATTTTGTGACGTGAAAAAAATGTATTCATAGTCAAAGAGTAGAATGTCAAAAAATGTAATTAAAGAGTCATTCAACTTCATAGTATGTTATGTTGAAAACACTCTTAGTATAGTATGTCCAAGTATAGTAAGTGATATTGTAGCATGTTGAAAAGTAATCATTAAAAGTCATAGAATAGTACGTCGCAAAAAGTCGTCATTCGTCATAATATATATGTCGAAAATAATCATAAATCAATCAAACTATCGGAAATAACTTGCCGCGCAACTGCCATGGCTGTGAAAGAGGTCATTTGGCCTGCGGATGAGAAGGCACCAAAACACTCTCTGGCACACTTATTGCTAGTGAGCCATTGGTTGAGGTTGCATACCCTCGCTCTAGCGCCACCATGATGTTGACATTTTTGTTTTTTATTTAAAAAAATCTCAATTGTATTGATTGCCATGAAATTTAGTACAGTCATATCCTCTAACCTTTCATCTAGCACCAGTCATAATTTCCTTTTATCCAATACTTAACACTGTAAAACTAATTACATTCCCATCAGCCTCAGCTGTACTTTGTGTTCAGTGCTTATTAGCAAATGTAAGCCAGCCAACACCCTACATTAAGGGTTAACATAGTAAACAGAAGGTTTGTGCTAGTTGTCTTTGCCATATTGCTTTAAAACATCATTAAAGATCTTTTTTATTGTAAATCTGAATCTTCTCTAAATTGTTTTTACAGTGGCACCAGTTAAATCTCTCAGGGAGGTCTTTGGGTACCTCGGGGATAACGTCACCTTGCCCTCAGGAGCCGACCCGTCATGGAAGCTCTCCTCAATGGAGTGGTCAATATTCCCAAACAACACTTGGATCGCCACCTATCGTAGCGAGATTAAGAACATCGATCGATTCGCTCAGTACAAAGGGAGACTCAGTCTCAACATCACTACAGGTAAGAGACAAATAGCTCCTGTCACTAAACAGGAACGCTTACTGTATTTCTCTCTTGGCCAGTCTCCTCAATGTGTCTTTTAATTCATTAGGTGACCTGATGATTTATAATTTGACCTCAAAGGATGCCATGGAATACACTGTAGACCTCATCAATACTAAAGGACAGTCCAGCGGAAACAAGGCTAAGGTCACAGTGAGACGTAAGTGCGACTAGCTTTCAAGACTGACACACATTTCTAGGTTTTGTGAGGCTTTTACACATGTTGATGGGTAAAAATAAATATTGTCATCTTGTGGTTTCACAGTTAGGTAGGTTGGCTCTGTCTTACTTTGACTTTTAAAACACCAACAATGAAATAAATGGGATTGACATCATCCTCTCGTCTAATCAACGATTCCAATTGAAACCCTCTGCAGAACGCCTCCAGAAACCGACCATTCTGACCTTTGCACATGAAACCGGAGACTGTCACAGGTTGCTGAAATGTTACTCAACGGATACAGGTGTACAATTGTCCTGGCAGGGAATACCTCCGAGCGGGACCGCCTACAACTCGACTAATCCTGACGACAACTCCGTAGTTCTTTTCGCATTATTCAACACCACCCAGAAGCAAGTTGAATTAACCTGCACCTCCTGCAGGAACACGGAGAAGGCCTCAAGTGTTATCACTTTAAAGTGTGACGGTAAGGTCACAACGGGACTTAAATGAGGAAAATGTTGTTCTGAGAAACCCATTCTAGATGTGTTTCCTTAATTATGTCGTTGCCTCTCCCATGTTGTTTCAGGTAAGAAGCCTGAGCATCAACCCCCGCCGCGTCCTCGGCCAGATCTTTGGTTCAGGGAAAGATATGGTATCGCTTATTTGGTCGGAGGCATCCTGGGAAGTATTCTGATAGTAGCTATAGTTTGCTTTTTCAGCGGTGAGAGGAAGAAATGAATGAAATAAATGAATGTATTTAGGTTCATGGAAACAGTGAAAACAATGTACAGTGGACAATGGACAGTTTAAAAAAACACAGATGCACTGAAAGATGTTCAATGATGGTGGCTACACTTTATTGTACTGCTGTTAAGGATATGGAGTATTTTTCCTCTGGTTCTCGTGACTTGTTTTTTTTGTTATCCGGTCAAATGGGAACTTTTTATTTTTGTAAAAACACTTTTTAACTTTGGAAATTGGGAGGTGCTGCAGTCCTGGTTCATTGTTAATTTCAATGTTTCTGCATAAGTATACAAGCACCTTTGTACACACCTTTCAAAAAAGCAGTGTTATGTATATGTTACTGTTATGTCATCTATTTTGTTTGTATTGTAATTGCTTTTATTGTTTCTGTTTTTACCATGAAAAGTGCCTTTGAGTACCTTGTAAAGCGCTATACAAATCAAATGTATTATTATTATTATTATACTATTACTTTTTGTACTCAGTGCACTTTTGAGACTTTGTTTAATCTCAATCTCTTTGTTGTTGCTACTGTCCATGTTACCATTGTGACTGAAGTATTGTAAATACATTGATGTGGAAGAGTAACTTTTTTTACTGTTACGCTCGTTAAAGTAGGTGCGTGAATTTATATCAATATACCAAATGTTTTTTTTACAAAATAGTACAGTTGGGTGTGATAAAAGTTATTTATGTTAGCTTTCATATGTGGCAAAACATGTCAAAAATCTGCTGTTGTATGTATTTAAAAAATGTGTTTATCTATTGTATGTTGTCTACTGTTTGCAAACCAAATTGCCCCTCAGGGAGATTAAAGTCTATCCAATCCAACAATTCTGATAAATGCTTATTCATGTGTGGCATCGCTGTCTCATTTCAAATAACAGCCCAAAACGCTTCGATTTAACAACATGCTTGCAAAAAGAGACTTAATGACAGTAAATGTAATTTAATATGACCACCTTTGCACAAGCTGAAACAAATACATTTTTACAAATAAAAATATAATCTCTGTATTTACACAATTTACAACACTGTTAATACAATTTGAGCTCTTTGGCTCTCAAAATATAATAGACGTTTTATGTTTGTCTTATATCAGGAAAAGGTGCCAAAGATAGAAAATGTACAAAAGTGTGACACTGTGTTGCACGCTTCCTTCGCGATATTAACCATACATATTTTATACATATTTTATGAACCACGAATATCGATCTACTTCTGTTTCTAACTCAAAGGACATGTAAACTGTACATTGTGCTGTGACCCTCTAGGGAATCTCTTGGTAGGGCTACACAGAGGCCTTACTCATGCGACTCAACTGGATCTTGTCGTACACAGTCTGGGGCTAGATGTGTGACAAAAGGAGGGGAAAAAGACAAAAAAACAAATATTGTTTATGTATATCTGTATTTATAATCAATACAAGTGAAGCAAAAGTACACTGTAGCCACATGCCGTATGTCGTAAACTTAAATTCAGTCTCATCTGCAAGAACCTCCAGGGTAAAGGTGTTGTTCTTACCCCAGGTGTGACTGTGTCGACTCTGTTCTCAATGGTTTCATACAGTGTGCATGGCTTCATGGTCAATGAAGTCCCCTGGAAGTTTAAATGAACATGCATCACAAGCAGAGTGGGTAAAACATGTATTTCATCCTCAAAACCCAAAGCATCGAATATCTATTTAAAACTGATTTGTGCATACTTACAGCCTCAAGCGCAACCTCAGCATACACTGTCGGGACATTTGTGTCACTTCCTGTTGGTGGATTTTAATGAAGCAATAAAGCAAAATAAAAAACGGTGATGTGCCAATCAGGAATTTGAAAAAAGCTGACATGACGTTTCTTACCTCCTTTACTTTGTTTGCAGTGACAAACATATACAGCTACTCCAACTATAACGACAATCATCAGACAACCTCCTCCCGCTGCACCCAGGAGAATGGGGAAGTTTGGGCCTGCAAAATAATGGTGTTATCAGTTATTGGGATCACATTTGTGCACGTTTCTTTTGGTGACAATGTCCTGTATGGCCGTTATATAACAACATTCGAATGACAGATATTCTAGCATGATATCTGACTTGAAATAAAAGCAGGAAACGTATTTAAAATAATTAAAAATAGAAAACTGGGTCACATTCAAAATTTTCAGTTTCTCATTTGTTGTTGACAATGTATAAGAATATCGAGTACAGCGTTTTGTTTAATGCCTCCTCAGCGTCCAGGCTCTACTTGTCATAACTCTTCAATGTATTATCGCAGCTTTAGATATCCAAAAAGAACATTTAAATACCTTTAATTTTGGTGGAGTAAATGCATCATTATGTTAAATTATGACTAGTCAGGACAACATTGGTGTAGTTGTACTCTCTTACATTATAGTAAATTTGAGTTTCGACTATAGTTTGGAAACATCTGGAAGTAACATTTGACACTTTCAGTTTAAGCTTCACACAACTTAAAGGGAAAAGTAACTTCAATCGCCCGACACAGAGTATAATCAGACGATTGCATTGTCTTTCTCACTAGTCAGATAGTTATTGCAGATGACTCTGGCAGGTCACATTGTAATGTGACTCTTCTAAATGCATGTGCGAAAATATTAAATATCAGAACAGATATACATCAAATATAGCCGTACCTGCTGTGCCTCTTTATCCTCTGTATCATATGATTCATAAAAACATTATGAAACTAGTGTACTACTAAACTATAATCACTTATCTGCACATACCTGTTTTCGATGGGTCAGACGTACTGTTGCTGCACATCACTGCTTTGATTGTCGACTTCTCGCTGACAAAATTGGAAATTGTGCAGGTGAATCCGGTGTCTCCGTCCTGAGGTGTGATGCTGTACCGCAGCCTGGAGCCACTCATGGTTTGGTTCCTCACGGCCCAGCTGTAGGTGACACTGCTGTCAGTGGCTCCGCTGCACTCCAGCAAAACTGTGCAGGATTCGTTGACTGCGTTCCAGGTGGAGTTGGAAGTCACAGTGGCTGCAGTTATGGGCTCTAGTGAGGGACACATCATTTTTAGAGGTGGAATTGTGCATCCCATTATATCAGACATAATTAACTAATAACTATGGTGGTCAAGAGAGCCCGCAAACGCAGCTAAACACAGAAAACCTCTTCATGTGTTGAGTGCTTTCTGGTTCCACTGTTGTTCTATATGAATCAATCCATCAACCAACTAAGATATTAATAATAGATTATCATTTATATACAATTATGAGGTCCTTACCATGAACATGCAGAGTGATGGTGACTGTAGTCCTTTGTGCGTCTTTCACCGCTGAGATAAAACTGAAATTACCAGAATCTTGGACAGTCAGTCGTCTCACTGTTAAATAAAAGCTTGTGGGGTTTAGTTCCAATCTGCCCTTGAATTTTCCAGAAAAATTAACATTTTTGTCTTCTATTATTATAAACCCTCCATGTTTCCACTGTGCCAAGGTGACTCCTTCTGCTGGTAAGCATGACGGCAACTCCACGGTGTCTCCAACCTTTTTATTGATGTTTTGTTCACAACTGGAAGTCTCCACATCTGAAACACATAAACAAAGAATGCACTGTCACTGTCAAATTTAGTTCCCAACATTAGGAGAGGCTGTCTTCAATGTTCATAGAGCGAGAGCAAAAAGGTCCAAATCACCTGAAATAGATGATAAAGCAGGGTATGTTTTAGGGCGTGGCTACCGTGTGATTGACAGGTTTGGTCTGGGAGTGGTCCGTGTTTTCGTCTTACAATTTGAACCCTTTCACAGTGTTTTCAGTTCATGAAAGTTATTTGTTACATGTTGGTCGCTTTAAAAATGTCTTATTCAGTGTTCGGTTGCACTTCTGGTTGCAAAAAAACAAGATGGCGACGGCCAAAATGCCAAAGTCGAGGTTTCAAAACGACAGTCCACAAACCAATGGTTGACCTCTTCACTTCTTATTTACAGTCTATGGATGTGATACACCTCCAGCAAACAAAATGTCTTCGCTCAGCTTTTCTTTGTTTCCTGTCAAGAGTCAGTGGTTTCCTCGTAACAGTGACCTCATCAAATAGTTTTAGTTACCTGACAGTTGTATCAGGGGGTAGGAAAGGAAAATACTCGCATGAGTCATATTTTGAATTCTCATTTGGTTTGTGGAGCTGCACCCACACACTTTTGTCATTTTCATTTAGAAAAAGTACTTTTCTTTCCAGATTTCCTACGAAAAATAAAATTTGGAAATATATATTAGTCTTAGTAAAGCCATTGTTGTCATAATCAATCGTTTGTATAAGCAGCTGACACTTGTGTCAATCTAATAATTTACCACAACACTAGTCTTCAGAGCTATCCAAGTTACGTGGAAGTAACGCCATTTCCAAAGAAGACGCAGTGCAGCCACAGTGACAAAGGTCTCACGCTGCCTTTATTCTGTGCTGCTCATCACTTTTGGTCAACGCTGCTGGTGACGGAGGGTTCTCAGAAAATGGACACTTCACATGTGTCTGCTGTCATGATGTGTAAGAATCTGACAACAAGCCCACACGCATTTCCAATGCAACATCCACTACAATGTGCTTGCTAGTAACTAAATACTGACACAATATTGAAATGACGGCCTGTATCTATGAGCTGTAAAGACACAGCAACCAGGCCATTTTAACACTTACACTCCCCTACTTGCAAATAGTCTGAGAAAGGTCCACACCTCCTTGTTCCTGTAAGCAATGATTTTATGTATGACCTGTTCTTTATGAGAATAAACTACATTAGTAGAACTGGTCCTCAAAGAGGAAGTAACACCAACAGACAGGATGACCCATCCCAGAGTTACGTAAAGGTTTTAAAGTTTTTAGCCAAGTAGAAGAAGCAGGAAATTTGCTGACAGTGTGCCAAAGAAAAGGGAAGCACATGTTTGCAAACTCAAAACCACAAGATGCAATGAAATCAGATCATAAACAAACAACTCGGGAGCTCCAATTTATGATAAATGTTGAGCAACATGCACATATTATGACTTTTTTATTGTATAGGACAGAAGTAAATGTTTGTCAGTCATCTTTAAACACACACAATTGGCGCCTTGAGTTCATTTCTTGAATTTGGACGTCACAGTTCTTAAATATGTCACTGGCTTTGAAGCCACAGCTGCATTTCTCACTGGAGCCATTTAAACGTCTTGCAGCTGCTAACACACACACACACAGACAGACTGTACCGATATGACATGCAAACATCCAGCAAATTCCTCAATCTTGACCAACCTGCTCCATTCAAAGCACATGACAGAGTGAATCAAGCAAATAAAAGAATAGTGCAGTAAAAATCCATAAAGTTAAGATCAGAGGCGTACATACCGTGGAGGCAAACCCAGAGAAGGAGCACAGAAATGTATGTAAAGAAGCAGCTCAGGCAACCACCAACCATCTCTGTGGGGAGAGATACAATGTCTGTTTCCTCTTCTAGTCTGTCAAACTGTGCTGTGACAAGTCACTCCTAAAGAAAAAAAAAAAAAGAATAGAGAGGGTGGAGAGCGGGGGAGATCTCTGTTGACGAAGAAGCAGAAAAAGCGGTCTGTCCTGATACACTGCGAGATTAAAAATAGGCACATGAGTGAGAACATAACTGGAGAGTGTTAAAAATGAGGATTTAATAACAGCGTTTTTGTCCGATTTTTTAGTAAATCATAGCCAGTTGTTGTGCATTCGATTTGTTTCTGTTAGGTGACAAAGAGTAAAGACAAACAACACATCTACAGACTACTGCAAGCAGCCGTATCTGTGCGAAAGTTATGAAAGGTAAATGTCCATTTCTGAAAACCACTGAGCAGGATGAAGCTAGCCACATCCTGTCATCAGATATTCCTAGATGAGGGGTTGCAAAAGTGAAAACACAAATTTGAGCATGTTCAGTGGACTTTTAAAATACACAACTGGAACTAGGATTCGGTCCATTACTGAGAATCCTGTCGGTGGAGGAGGGGAACTTTTTGGGCCCTGAGAAGCAAATACTTAAAAATACTGTATTTATCTTTTTTTCTTTATGCATTCTGGTACGAGCTATTTTCGTCCACACAATATGAAAATAAAGAAAAACAGCATTTTTCTCTGCACATTATGCGTCAGTGTGTCCATCTGTGCTTGCATGATAAGGTCCACAATTGCATGCAAATTGGTTTATTCACAAATAATAATAGAGAGTGAGAGAAAAAGGATTTTCTCGCCTTAAATGACACTGACAGCCAGAGCCACAACATGCATAGGGGATTCTGTTGCAGGGCAGAGGTGTTATCGCTCCCAATATTAGCCTTGGTGACGTGTGTGCAAAGCGTTCAGGCAATAGAGTTGAGGTATTGGCTTGGCTTACACCCATGACCTCTTGTATATTGCATTTTGAGTCTGGGTAAGACTTGACACCGGGGCACTGGGTAGTGGGACCCCCCCGATTGCCACTGAGCGGCATGCATTTTGTGTGCAGCCATATGTGAGCACAGAAGGAAGTGAACTACCAAGCCTCAGGATAAGATAAGCGACAAGTGGCGATGTGTCCACACCGCATAGTAAAATGATATTTAGATCAAGTTCAAATGCTCAAGTCTCAGGATTTGCAAGGAAAATAATAATATGACGAGGGGAGTTATCTGCTTACTGCAGAGCATCTCAGCATCCGGCGGTGAAAGACTGTAGTCCCCTGTAGTCTCATCTGGTAGCCATAAATAACATCACAATGCAAAGACCGGCATCGTTCTACGTGGTGTTTCTGCAGTGGTGGTCTCTGCACTGCAGCCCCACTTTGGTTTCCTGAACTTTAGGCTGATGGTGCATTTACATTTCAACGCTGATGTGAAACCCACAAAGTGAAACAGGAAAGGTAAAGATGCTGCCCACCTATAGGGCAGCCGACTGAACTTTGCTCGACACTTCACTCAACTATTTTAGGAACACTCGCATGTCTTACTTCTCTTTAAATTCACACATTCTTGTATTGGCACTGAAATCTCACCCACGTCTCCCAGTATCCACTTCACAGAGCAATGGCATTCAACCTACTCATGTCACACCTGTCACTTCTTAATGGAAATCCACAAGTTACAACTTACAAATCATAGAAACCTAGCATCATATTGATTTTCATTAATTTACCATTATTTGTGAATTTACAGTTTAGCTGTCTGTCGGTTGATCAGTCGGTCCACCACCAGACTGATCTGTCTCAATAACATTTGGATGGATTGCCAGAACATTTTGCACAGATATTAATGGACCTCAAAGGGTTGAGCAGAACTGTGTTGAAATCCCCCAGTTTCCCAGCTCCACCACAAGGTTGACAAAATCCATTTTTAGTGAATTATCTCGACGTCTATTGATTAGGCTGTGCAGACATTTGGTACAGACAGTCATGGTACCCAGAGGATCCTATTGACTTCAGTGATTAACAGGTCAAAAACCCAAATATACTTGTTAATGACCAAAAACTGCAATGCAATGCCAATTAAACTGAACCTTAAACCTTTATTCAGCCTAGCTGTACCTTGTATTTGCTGATAATTAGTTACTTACTGGTGTATTCACATTTCTGCAGATATGCTTGACTAGAGCGGAGCATGCAACACACAGTGGCTGAATACATTTAGGGAGTTTGCAGGGAGACATTTAGTCATTTCCTTTTTTCTGAGTCATGATAATCCAGAGAATTTAACGTGTCAACCACCATTTTAAGAACTTTTCTTTTTTTTTTTGTTACATCCTGCACCCCCATTCTCCTCTCTGAAATATAGAATATCGAGACAAACAACCTGTTCCATTTAGATGACATTCATTTTCAAGTTGTCCGTTTTCGACTCTCAAAAGGATCAGCTGACTATTTACTTGGTGAAACCCTAAAAGTCTAACATGAACATGTTTGCTGACATTTCCTTTTGAAAGGAGAAGTGATACAGAGACGGTAAAAGGACTCTGGCGAGAGAGTCGAGAAAGAAACAGAACCAAGACGTAACAGACGTGTTCACCGACACACCCTGAACCCCTCACATCATTTAGAAGAACTATGAAACTCAAACCAGATGAGTTCAAAGGTGTATTTATTTTATTTCAAAATAATAAAGTATGATATAAAAATATTAGCTGAAAATAATGTCAATGTAATTACAATAGGTATAAACCAAAAAAAAGACAACAGTTACATACAACAAAAAGTACTGAACATTTGCCCAAATGGAGGAAAAACATTCTAAATAGTCGACTAAACATTATGCACTTTATGATAATACACTTTAAATGTGCTGAAGCATGAAGCTGTGCACCATGCATGCACTCACTGATGCATCTGCAATGATATTTGACCACAAGAACCGCCGATCAGCAAGTAACTGGAAGGAAAACCGCACTGCTCCACCAAGTGGCTAAAAATATAAAGCAGTGTGAAAGAAACACAGACAGCCTTCCTTTAAAACACCCTCCTTGCTGCTCATACCACTGTAAAAGAACTTTAAAAGATCAGAAATAAACATTACTGCTGATTCCTCCGTGAGATAGAGCAGACTATCTATACAGCTGAGTTGAGGACAGACGAATGAACATACATGAAAACTAAATGCTGTAAAACTGCCTTAATGTTGGATTTCATGTTTTCTCTTGTTTTGTTAACGGTGCACTTCTCTTCATGACGCTGGAACCAAATCTGAGGAAACAACTGAAAAGAAAAAATAATAAGAGATACAGGATGATATAGGTGGAGTGGAACAAAAAGCGATAATGCAGAGTACGGTGTATTCTACCAAATGATAGCTTCTTCAGTGCCTCATATTTATTCTTAGACACAAGATTAGTCATGATGAAGCACTTCAGTTGGTCAGAGATGACATTACTTTGTGTACGTTATCTTCAGTTCCTCTTTCAGAGAAGTGCTGCTGAGACACGCTGCCACATTTAGACACATTTAAGTGTCTAAATAGATTCTGGTAGCATGCTCTTTTTCTTGAATTTTACTTGAGTTATTAAAAAGCTCCATGTTTTTAAAGGTTTACTGTACCTGTTCCAGCATCTTCAAAGCCCCCCACAGTTTCTATTCTATATTGTTCATCAGCAACTGCTCATACGGTAACTTAAGAAGCAATAATTGGTATGATATGGTTGACGAGCGAAGCTGCACGAGACGAGATGTTTACCAATGAAGCTGCTTCATCAGCGTCAAATCACAAAGTTGGGCTGACAAGGAAGAGAAAATCAACAATCCACTTTACAGACTGTAGATTATCCCACTTTTGGTCATTTATTTCAGATTGGACCACTTCAACTGGATAAACTGAACCTCAGCAGCAACAAACAACAATATACATAATAAGTATTAATACAAAAGCATATTCAGCAGAAATCCACAGTGAATAAAATCCAAAGCAAAATGCTGCGTGTGAGCAGCGTCTGGATGGCCGCAGCTGTATAAATGCTGTCAACAGCACTTAAACATGAATGCTGTTTGTCATGTCGTCCACGCTTTTCTTGTTTTGCTGACGATGCACTTCTCTTCATGGACCTGGAACAAATCCACAATAAATACAGTAATTGTTTTTAAATGCATTTGAACATTTAGACGACTATATTGACTACAAGTTGAACTGCATACTGACTTATAGTTAGATTTACTCCTAGTGTATTTAATAATAACCATTCAATAGTATTTCCTTTAATGTCATTTAAATGCAAATGACCCAGTAGCTACATAGTTAAAGTCTTAATATTTGTATCTGCAGTTGAATCTAGATTGACATTACTGTAGTCAGAGCTCTCCGCTGCGTCCTCACGTATTTCTGTGAAAACAATATAATGACAAATAAATCTCCCGTTTACCACACAAAGTATAATTGATGCCAGTGTGTACTTTTGGCAATTACGTCTGTGGGTTTGATATTCTGCTGTCCACATACTCATCACATCTGTATTAACAATGAGTGAATTCGTTTTTTATGTTCATGGCGACGGTACTTTGTGTACTCACTCCTCTTTCCCAGAGCTTTGAGCTGAATCTGAGATGTGACATTTCCGTATCCATCTGCCAAGTCACCTGAAAATAGAACGATTATACTGCCTTGAATTCTAAACACTTACAGCATTTAGGACGGCTCTGCACAATCCAGAGTTTATACTGTACCCCGCCCGGTGATCCCAGAGCCAACGATTGTTTCATAGACACAAACATCACCTACAGGTCAGCAAAAATCATATTAGTCACTTTAAGTCCAAGATATTGTAGAACTTGATTCAGATTAAAAGTTGTTTTAAATATAATAACTGGACATGAACCGTGGAGAAGAGAGGAGTAGAGTTGCTGTTGATTTTCATCTTGGTTGACAGTGTGGACCACAGCAGAGCTCTGATTGGTCCTCTGAGACTGGATGAGCCTGAAACATGTTGAAGCAAACAATTGTGCATAATATGTAAAATCTAGTAAATCTAAAAGTAGTTTTATTTAAGATGAGACGAGAGTGTACCAACCTGTGACAACACGTATCTGCAAAAAAAGAGTAATTATTCATTTGCTTGTTTTTGTTGAGCGAAATGAGCCAAAATTGGTGACGTCAGAGTTCCTCGTTGATTTTTAATAAGCAGAGTGTAATTGATCGATAATAAACAAGAAAGAGGTCTCACCCTTTGACTTTTTGTACCAACACAGTAGCACCAGACTCAGGAGAACCATCAGTACGATGCCACTAACCAGCCCCGCGATCAACAGCACAGGAGATGGAGAACTGGACGCTGAAATAATTAAGAATATACGTATTAGTTAACTTCATCGAGTGGAGCATATGACCAAAAGCAGATCAGTGTTTGTATATTTTATACACATAAAGTTGTACAACATGACTCTTCACTGCAAACTGAACCACATTTGGCTGATAATGATGATTCCACCACATAACTGCACGGTTGTTGATGATTTTTTACACAAATCATAGGCCTTTGTCATGAAAGATATTTTGACACAGTAGGGAACGCACGGCTGTTAATGATCAAATTAATCAGTTTCCGGGTCCTTGGCTCACTGTCACACTGTCTTGGCTTAGTGCAGGGTGTCAAACATACGGCCCGAGGGCCAGAACCGGTCTGCCAAAGGGTCCAACCGGCCAACTGGATGATTTTGTAAAGAGTGAAAATCGCAGAGAGCTCATTAATTCCAATTTTTTAATGACCTGCTTTTGTCCACTGGGGGTCCTAATAAGAGTATCACTCCCATCAACTATTATATTTCCCACATGCTTAATTACAGGCTACGTGACACAATGGTGTCAAGTGTAGGCTACTGTTCATGCAGGAGCCGTCAGCGGAAAATGGCATCTCATGGCGTTGAATGTCAGGTTTCCTAAGAAAAATGTAGGCTACTTATTTCTTCACAGAGGTAGACGGGAAGCCAGTGTGCTTGGTGTGCTCACAGCACCTTTCAGTACGCACTGAATATAATAATAAGTGCTGCTATCATACTCACCATGGCAAAAAATACAAGGACTTGCAAGGACAACTGAGAACAAAGAAGATAAGTGAATTGTTGGTAGGTTTTGAGAAAACAGGAGTCTGCTTTTTTAGTCATAGCCGAGAGATCAGCGAGACATCTCAGGCTGTTCATCATCTGTTTTGTAAATGGATTAAACGTTTTAAGAATGTATTTGTACTTCTTTACACTAGTTAGTAGAAAGGGAAACATTTGGAGCTGCTGTTATTTAAAGGTTATCATGTAATCATTTTACTGGTTTAGCCAACTTGAGGTAAAAGGGGCTGCATGTGGTCGCTGAATGTAAATGAGTTTGACGCCCCTGACTTAGTGGGATAGTTGAAATGGAGCCATCGCCAATGTTACTAGTCATGACAAGTCAAGGTGTCTGCTGTGAAAAAAAGGCATATTGGGTGAAATCTGATGAAACAAAAGTCTGTTTTAGTAAAACCCAACACATGCAGACAGGCTGCATCAATCATACTCACATTTTACTGACATCCAACTCTGTTGTGAAAGCACTCCTGAGTGTTCACATCTGTAGAAGCCTTCGTCTGACTTTGACACTGCAGAGATTTCCAGCTCCCCTCTGTCACTATTTGGGACGAGTTTGTCATTTTTGTAGAAAGTGACGTTGGAAAGTGGTTTTCCTGTCCTCCGCATGCAGCCAAAAGTAACAGAACCCCCCTCTCTCACAGGATGGACGGGGCTCACCAGGATAATGAAATCTGTAAAACCGTTAAATGCAATGAATATGATCGGCCTGACAAATGAATAGAGTAGTGGAGTTTGGTGAACGCTAGCCACATACATTTCTTAAATGGATGGAAACGTGAACACCTCAGTATTTCCAATGCATATGCATACAATATGATTAAATAAATATTAAATGACATGAACGGTCACAACAGAAACCGGATGAAAACCTACAATTTCTAGTGATGTTAACAGCATTGCTGAACTCTCCTGATCCAGACTCACACCAGTGCACTGCATTAAGGACCCAGAGACTGTAATGGTTCAAGTGGCATGTGGATCCAATCATTGTCCCCCAGGAAAAGCAATGTGCCAGGCGGCCATCCCCAAAAAACCTCATCACTCTCCACTTGGTAGAGTTTCCCTCACAGCTCAGCGACACAGAGTCAGAGGTTAAGTGCTGCACTCTGTCAGGACTCACTGTGAGAGACGCTGCTGAGTGAACATCTGAAAAACAACATTGATGAAGAGTCAAACAAAGAAAAGCGAAATTATAAGATTGAAAAGATAAAAGTTAGTCAGTTAAACTATCCAAAATAAAACTAGTTGTTAAGGCACATCAGGGGCATATGTTTTGAGTTTTCTTCATGCATATCCAATTAAAAGCCAATGTGAGAATTAGGCTACTTTCCAAGATATATTACATCTGCTTTTGGAGAACAGGAAGTGAGAAACAAACAAACCTACCTCCAGACCAGACAAACTTAGTTTCACTATACTGAGTGTAAAACACTGGATCTCCTCTTCCAGCTCTGCACACATATCCTGCTGTGTGCGTCTGTCCATGAACAATGTAGGAATCCTGTTCAGTACCATCGGTGCTACCAGGTAGAAGCTCAGAGATGTAGGAGTCGTGGCGGCTGTGATAACCCATCCAATGATGTCCAAAGGGGCTATACATGTCTGATATGTCTGCTGGTTTGGGAACAGCCTTATACCAGAAGAACCTCCATCCTGCAGATGGATGTTCAACACTGCAGGTCAGAGTTACTGAGTCTCCAGGACTCAGCCATAATGGAGACACAGTGAGGACAGGCTGAGGTTTCTCTGTTGGAGAATGTTTTTTCAGAGTTAATACATGTTTCAATGTGGAATCTAGATTTGCTTCTGGATTACCAGCAAACCAAACTTTAACGCTTTTATGAATTTTCCATTTGAATGAAATCAAATCTGACTTACTATAAGACACTGTCAGTTTGAAGGAAATACTCCACCCTGTTGAATTCCGTTGTGCTCTCTTCAGTCTGCCCATACACCAGTAGTCGCCATTGTATGATGGAGAAACACTAATCCTGTATTTATTTTGGTTTGGAGGTTTATATGAGCTGGTTGTCATCCATTCGTACTCCCACTCAGCGTCTCCTCCCTGCATCTCACATCTAAGAGCGATCGTCTCTCCAGAGTAAATCTCAGGCCAGTTGGGTTGCCGGGTCACAGCAGCAGCGTTTGTGACTGTTGATGTTCACCAATCACCAATAAAGATGCAAAAAATGACAAATACAAAAAAAGTTAGCATCAACATCAAACAAATCTCAATCAGCAATCTTGGATTCAGAATGGAGTATTTCAATGCGACACTCACCAATTTTGTGAATATTGATTGAATCGCTGTACTCTGTGTAGTAAACTGGGTTTCCTCTTTGCCCAACGCACCAGTAGAGTCCTTCCTGTGAGACACTGATTTGTCCAGTTGAGAGGACGGTAACGTCTGGTGTGGTCAGGGGTTGAGAGGATGTCTCTCCTCTGTACCAGTAGTATGTCCAACCCGATGATGATGATGAAGATGATCCCACAGAGCAGGTCAGGGTCACACTGCCCCCGACAGGAAAGCCTCTGTTGTCAGCACTCAGGTTAGCCTTCGGTCTGTGTGCTGTTCAGTTCAAAACAAAGACAAACAAATGGCATTGCTCTCCCTGTGAATTAATCTATTTAAACTACTTAAAAGAAAATGGACTGAACTGAAGTGGCAAAACAAAACACGGTTCAAAAACACTTTAAAGATGCATAACAGTCCTTCTCTTTTTCATTTGGTAATGATGATATAAGAAGAAGAAGAAACTGTGCACTACGCCCAATTCAACTTACATGAAACTGTCAATGTGATGACCTCGCTCCACTCCGTTGAGGAATACGAGTCCCAACTTTGTTCACCCATGCACCTGTAGTTTCCACTGTCGTTCACCGCAGCACTGCCAATCCTGCACTCATCGTGTGTTGGAATTGTGTCCGAGTTGGGCCTGCTCCATTCGTACTCCCACCCACTGTTTCCGCCTCCATAAATATCACATCGAACAGTGATCGTTTCACCACTGAAGATCAGAGGCCAGTTGGGTTGCAGGGACACAACCGCCTTGTTGGAAACTGTTCACAAACAGAAAATGAACAGAGGAAACTAGTTGTTTGCCCAATAATTCTTCATGCTGTATCCCTCCAAACTACAGCAGTCACACTCACCTCTTTTCTCAATGGTGACTGGATCACTGTCCTCTGTGAAGAAAACTGGGTTTCCTCTCCCTCCTCTGCAGTGGTAGATGCCTCCTTCTGAGATACTGATAACTCTATCTGATCCACCGTCTCTAATGATCTGACTGTCAGAAAACACAGAGGTTCTTCTGAACCAGTAGTACATCCAATCAGCAGATTCATCCACAAAGCACGTCAGTGTTTTCTTGCCCCCAACTGGTATGGTTCTGCTATATGCCATTACTGTGGGGCTGGGTTTATGAGCTGTTCATTTGTGTGAGAAAAAAAGGTTTTAGTATTCAGACAGATGAAAAGATACTAAAGCACAGTATGAATGAAAGACAATCTGACTTACATGATACTATCAGTGAGAAGGCATTACTCCACTCGGTTGAGGAATAGGAGTCCCTTCGCCCCTTACACCAGTAGCTTCCAGTCTGAGAAACAGAAGCACTGCTAATCCTGTACTCACGGTGTGTTGGAGGTGTGTTTGAGCTGGTTGTTCTCCATTCATACTCCCACTCAGCGTTCCCTCCTCCCTCAATCTCACATACGACAGTGACCGTCTCACCAATGAATATCTGAGACCAGTTGTGTTGCTGGGTCACGACGATCCTGTTGGATACTGGTTACACCAAAAATACACAATTAACATTCAAACAGAAATAAACAGTCAACAGAAAAAACCTTATGGGCTGGGTTGCACCAACAAGGATTCATTTAATCTGGGATTAGATCTAATCAGAGTTCAGTAAAACTCCAGATTTAAAATTAGGCAGAGCTCTGTTGCAAAATTACTCATCTTTGTTTAGTAAATCAAAGTCTAAACCAAAAATTTAATTGAGTTTGATCATGATGATGGCTTACCAACAATTAAATAAATAAATGCGTTGGTGTGTAGTCGGAACCTAGTTAGTAGGCTTTAAAAGAGGAGGGAAACTTGACAAAACGTTACATTGTTTGCTAGCGAGCTAAAAAGTCTATGTTGCTCCATGAAAATGATAAACATATTGACGAAACATTAAAAAAGAGAAAAGATCAGAGATGACACAGTCGGGGGAGATGTAGCCCAGTCGGCATGAACATTTTTTTTTTTTGCGTTGTACATTTCTGCAAACCACGGATACGTTGAATGTCGACGTTGTTGCATTCGGCCAGAGCAAGCGACGTAGTATATCAAGTGACTGTTAATGGAAGTTACGTGATATACTGAGGAGTATAACAAGCAAGACAGTCCACTAAGGGTGGGTAGGAGGACTTCTTAATGGGTCAAACAAACATATGACTTTCACCCAGGAGACCGCTGTTTGTGCCCAATGTGAAACCAAAAGTGAACACTTTACTTCACTACTTTACTTGTTAGGGATATTTTGTTATGTTGAAATGTTACGTTGTTACGTTACATTGTTACATTACGATAAGTTGTTACATTACATTGTTACATTATATTGCTATATTAGCTGTTACATTAGGCTGTTACATTACGTTGTTACGCTACGTTGTTGCGCTACGTTGTTGCGCTACGTTGTTGCGCTACGTTGTTGCGCTACGTTGTTACGCTACGTTGTTACGCTACGTTGTTACGCTACGTTGTTACGCTACGTTTTTACTTACGCTACGTATCGTTACGTTGTTACGCTACGTTGTTACGCTACGTTTTTACTTACGCTACGTATCGTTATGTTGTTACGCTACGTTGTTACGCTATGGTTTTACTTACACTACGTATCGTTACGTTGTTACGCTACGTATCATTATGTTGTTACATTACGATACAAACCATGATGTTTTTTTTACCTTAACCAAGTATTTTTGTTTCCTAAACCTTTCCAATTGCTTCACAAAGTTAATCAATGTTTCGAGGCTGTTATGAAATGCATTAATTAACTTATTTTTTGGTCAGAAATGTCAACATTAAAGGCAGGGAGTGGTTTGCAGAAACGTAGAATGTGAACATTTTTTCTGGCGACTGGGTCGGCAGATCTATCTTGAGCTAAAAATTGCAAAACCAGAAAATTGTTTAATTACCTTCAGCGTGTCCACAGTAGAGGAGTGTATTCAGCACTATAATAAAGATAGATCATCATACTCAATATCAAACTGGCTTAACTATCAAATGTATAATAAACAAAGGCATTTAAGAACAGCTGGATTTTGACAAACATCTCACACTCTGTTCTTCTCACTACATTTCGCTAAATCTGTCATTCAAGCAAAGAAAGTCAGTGATGTACTCACACGATAATGACAGCGCACAGAACAAAGTGAGCCCCATCCTTACATCCAGCAATGACACTCCATCACTCTGCTTCTGAAGAACAGAGAGACTGAAACTGGAGCCAGAAGAGAAAAGGAGAACTGAGGATAAGAGGTTACATTTCATACATATCTGAGACCAGATGTTTTCTACATCTCCTTTTTCTGATTTAAGCCCTCACACCACATCACTGGATTTAGAAAAATAACAAATTATAACAGACAGGAAGACATCACGTGGTGCCTGCATGTTAGACAAAACTAGGATTGCACTAAGTAGTGAATAATAATATTAATAATTAATAGAGTGCTCTGTGCAGACAACATTAGATCTTTTTTTGTCCCTTGTAACTTTGTCTTAAACATCGTAAAACATACAATAATCACTTGGGTACCAAATCTTTTTTTAATTGTTTCTTGCTCCAACTAGATTATTGCAAAAACAAGCCAAGGCACAGCTTGTCAGGATAAGATAATTCAACTTCACTTGCCTTTCACATCTACAAAAGGTGTTGCTTGATGACTTAGACAGTGTCATCATCACTAACACAGGATGTTTTTACACACGGCAACGAATTACTGAAGGAAAATTGTTAACAATGCAATCAATATAGTACGTATTTATACTGTAAGTTACAATGCTTACCAATGGAAATCATTGCATTAAAAACAACTGTTATTATTGTGGTTTTGAATGCAAGTATTCCTGGTGGTGCGGGGGTTTTTTTAAATGAGGAGGAAGATGACTAAATTGGTTTCACAATCGCAAATTTAGTGAGAAAAACTTGCATTTCCTGTTTGCAAGAGAGCAACATATCATTTGAAGGGGCTTGAAAGACTATACAACTTAACATATAAGCCAAAGTAGATGTGCATGAATAAAATAAGATGTAAAAGCTCAACCTAAACTTATAATGACAAAAACTTTTCTTTTTTTTTTTCCAACAGCTGCACATTAAAAAAGGTTTGTACTGAACTGTTTCCTGTATTTTCAGAGCATCCGATTGCGTCACATGACCTACAGGTCAGTGAGAAAACAAAGAAAAGTCAACCTCGTTGCATTGTTTGAATTTAAACATCTTCATGCAACATGTTAACATACCTGCTTGATTTAGTTGAACAATGTTTAACATGCAGCAGAGGGAACATTCTTTTAAAGTTAGAGAGTGTTGGAGAAGTGAACATGCAAAGCAGAAGGGACTAAAAAGCCTTCAGCATGAAATGGGAGGCTGACCGTGGATAAGAGAGGAAACATGCTGCTGAGTTGCATCGTGGTTGACTGTAGCACAGCCTTGATTGGTGCTCAGAGACTGAGCTCAGAGGCACCTTTCCTTTACACTGATGATGATTGCCAGCTTTTATTGTGAAGGGAAGATGTGCCAAAAAGTTGATCCAAATAATTTAAAATAGAAAAACTGGCCCAACAGTGACAATATAAAATATGACATGCAAAGAAAACCTGCAACACCAAGTGTAACATGTAGGTGTGTTTATGGGATGCAATATTTAACAGTCATATTTCTTAGATATGTGCTATTAGTGAGCTGTGGTGAAACCAGTCTGTCTGTGTGAGCTTTGTGTAAAAGCGAAGGAAGTTAAATTGAAGAAGAAGGTGGAGAAAACACCAAATCCAATGCTGCAGTTTCAAGCTTTGCCCAAAGTGTAAAAGCCATAAAAGCATCACTCAGAAGCAGAGCGACAGAGTGTCAGTGCTGGATGTGAGGATGGGACACACTGTGTTTGTGCTGGGGCTTTTCTGTGAGTACTTTATGTTTAAATCATAGTTTTCATTGATAAAACTTTTTAAATGACTGATGTTAATAGTTTCTGTCTGTTTGATGATGAATGATGAAGTTTCAAACTGGGGTGGTGGTTCCCATCTTCAAAAAGGGGGACCGGAGAGTGTGCTCGAATTACCGGGGTATCACACTACTCAGCCTCCCGGGGAAGGCTTATGCCAGGGTGCTGGAAAGGAGGCTCCGACCGCTTGTCGAACCTCAGATTCAAGAGGAGCAGTGCGGATCCGCCGTGGAACAGTGGACCAGCTCTTTACCCTCGCAAGACTACTGGAGGGGTTCTGGGAGTTTGCCCAACCAGTCTACATGTGCTTTGTGGACTTGGAGAAGGCTTTCGACCGGGTCCCTCGGGGGGTCTTGTGGGGGGTGCTGCGGGAGTATGGGGTGCCGGACCCGTTACAACGGGCGATCCGGTCTCTGTACGGCTGCAGTAGGAGCTGTGTCCGCATTCTCGGCAATAAGTCAGACACGTTCCCGGTGGGTGTTGGCCTCCGCCAGGGCTGCCCTTTGTCACCGGTCCTGTTCGTGATTTTCATGGACAGGATATCTAGGCGCAGCCTGGGGGCGGAGAACGTCAGTCTCGGGGGTCTCGGGATCGCTTCTCTGCTATTTGCAGATGATGTGGTCCTGTTAGCCTCCTCGGATCGTGACCTCCAGCATTCACTGGGGCGGTTTGCAGCCGAGTGTGAAGCGGCGGGGATGAGAGTTAGCACCTCCAAATCTGAGGCCATGGTTCTCTGCCGGAAACCGGTGGATTGCTCCCTCCAGGTGGGGCCGGAGTGCCTACCTCAAGCGAAGGAGTTCAAGTATCTCGGGGTCTTGTTCACGAGTGAGGGTAAGATGGAGCGGGAGATCGACAGACGGATCGGTGCGGCTGCAGCAGTAAAGCAGGCGCTGCACCGGACCGTCTTGGTGAAGAGGGAGCTGAGCCGGAAGGCAAAGCTCTCAATTTACCACTCGGTCTACGTTCCTACCCTCACCTATGGTCACGAACTCTGGGTCGTGACCGAAAGGACAAGGTCGCGGCTACAAGCGGCCGAAATGAGCTTCCTCCGTAGGGTGGCCGGGCTCAGCCTTAGAGATAGGGTAAGGAGCTCGGTCATCAGGAGGGAGCTTGGAGTCGAGCCGCTACTCCTTCGCGTCGAAAGGAGTCAGCTGAGGTGGTTCGGGCATCTAATTAGGATGTCTCCTGGACGCCTCCCACTGGAGGTTTTCCAGGCACGTCCAACTGGGAAGAGACCCCGGGGAAGACCCAGAACACGCTGGAGAGATTACATCTCCCAGCTGGCCTGGGAACGCCTCGGGATCCCCCAGAATGAGCTGGAACATGTTGCCGGTGAGAGGGAGGTCTGGGTCGGCCTGCTTGACCTGCTGCCACCGCGACCAGACCCCGGATAAGCGGTGGAAAATGGATGGATGGATGGATGGACCAAGTTCACTAAAAACACTTGTTTATTTATGATTCATGTTGATATGATCAACCTGTTTGACAAAGTGTTCATATAATATAATGTAGTGATAATGTATAAATGTTAACTAGCATAAGATTCAGAAAGCTTAAAGTTTGACCACTGATGCTGTTCAGACAGCTGTATAACCTGTAATCCTGAGCTTTGTTTAAAGGACCAATTATCACATCATCTTGATCATTACAATAAAACAAAGACAGATGGACAGAGTTCAGCTGTTTACATGAAGATACTTACATAATAATAATAATAATAATAATAAGACAAACCATCCAATATTTTATCCCTTTTGAGAAACGAGTCAGTGATTAATTAGTGATAACATTAATGCATCAAACA